ATCTACCCATCTACCTATCTACCTATCTACCTATCTACCTACCTATCTACCTATCTACCTACCTATCTACCTATCTAACTATCTCCCTATCTACAGAATCTACCCATCTACCCATCTACCCATCTACCCATCTATCCATCTATCGATCTATCGATCTATCGATCTATCGATCTATCTATCTACCTATCTAGCTATCTATCTATCTATAGTTAAGGACATACACTTAGAACACCATTTGGAAAACGCATGGTGGAAACTTCTGCAGGGGAATGTGTTCTAAGTATACACTTAGAACACCAAAAAAAAACATACACTTAGAACATGTTCTAAAAGGTATTTAGAACACTTTGGGGTAATTTATGTGTTCTAAGTGTATGTCCGTAATTTCAATTATGTAAAGGATTGGTACAACCTTCCGCAGGGGGTCCATGGATACATAGATAATCAATATGATAATCCCAAAAATAAACCATCCCATTAAATAATCATTTGGGCCACATGTGGAGGTCATTTCACATCATCTCAAATAGAGCTATACCGAAAATTATCCAATTGGAAATATCTTTTGGGAATGGTGGTTATATATCACTTCAATGCGATTATTAGGTTTTAAGCCAATTGTATTTGATGCAATTATGGGAAATCCTTTCTTGACGAACCAATATATATATATATACATATAATCATATCCCCCTTGCTACCGGCCGGGGTCGGCGGATTGGATTTTCTGAACTAGGGGATCCCCAAAATCATAGTTTTCAAATGTGCTCAACACTAAAATGGTCCAATTCGGGATGATTTGGGTTCCCCATCATTTTAGGAAATCTCGATATGTTGTTTTTTTTTCTCCTGGGCCAATCTTAATTGAAATAATTATTGTAGCCATGGTATATTAATATGGATTTGGTAAATATCTGATTCATCATCGTCATGCTGCAGATATCAGCTTAGTAGATATCGCAATTCCATCACCACTATCCCACATGGCGGCTGGAGCGGATGACCAGCTTCCAGACGGAATCAAAGCATTTGCGTACGGGTTGCTTGGAAACGCACTGGTGCATAAGGCTTTCTGTGCGAAAAAGAACATTTCCAAGCAGTTCTGCATATATGTATATATATATACACATATATACATATATATGTAATTCAAGACCATTCAATGTATATATATATAGATAAATTTATTTTTATCTATATATATGTATATATATACACATAAACTTTTGTTGGCAAAGGGTCCGCAGGCTAGGGAATATCTCGGTTGTCCAGGTGTTCTAAGTGATGTTCCTTGCAAGGCATTATCTCCTCCACTGATTTCTAGATTCCCAGAATCTCACAACAAAAAAAACCTTCAAGACCAGTTAAGATCATTCACTGCCGGAACAACTTAATATAACAATAATAATAGATTGAATGTGTTTAGTCAAACATCGAGCAATACAATATCCAAGATGAATTTTTGTTGGCTAAGGTTCCGCAGGCTAGCGCATTTCTCGGATGTCCAGGTGTTCTAAGTGATGTGCCATGCAAGGTATTGTCTCCTCTCCAAAAATAACATAATCAAATCCAAGATCATTTACAATCATTCAGTACACCAATAAGGTTTACCATTTGAATGAATTTGTTCAATTATCAAACGAAGCAGTATCCAAGATGAACTTTTGTTGGCAAAGGTTCCGCAGGCCAGGGCATATCTTGGTTGTCCAAGTGTTCTAAGTGATGTGCCATGCAAGGTATTGTCTCCTCCCCAAAAAATAAAACAATCAAATCCAAGATCATTCACGATCATTCAGCACACAAATAAGGTTTACCATTTGAATGAATTTGTTCAATCATCAAACGAAACAGTATCCAAGATGATTTTTTTTTGGCTAAGGTTCCGCAGGCTAGCGCATTTCTCGGATGTCCAGGTGTTCTAAGTGATGTGCCATGCAAGGTATTGTCTCCTCTCCAAAAATAAGATAATCAAATCCAAGATCATTCACGATCATTCAGTGCACCAATAAGGTTTACCATTTGAATGAATTTGTTCAATCATCGAACGAAACAGTATCCAAGATGAATTTTTGTTGGCAAAGGTTCCGCAGGCCAGGGAATATCTTGGTTGTCCAAGTGTTCTAAGTGATGTGTTATGCAAGGTATTGTCTCCTCTCCAAAAATAAGATATATAATCAAATTCAAGATCATTCACAATCATTCTCCATCCAAAAAGCTTTAAGAATTTGAATGTATTTGATCAAACATCCAATAAAACAGTATCCAAGATGAACTTTGTTGGAAAAGGTTCCGCAGGCCAGGGCATATCTTGGTTGTCCAAGTGTTCTAAGTGATGTGTTATGCAAGGTATTGTCTCCTCCCCAAGAAATAAAACAATCAAATCCAAGATCATTCACAATCATTCTCCATCCAAAAAGCTTTAAGAATTTGAATGTATATATTTGATCAAACATCCAATAAAACAGTATCCAAGATGAACTTTTGTTGGCAAAGGTTCCACAGGCCAGGGCATATCTTGGTTGTCCGGGTGTTCTAAGTGATGTGCCATGCAAGGTATTGTCTCCTCTCCAAAAATAAGATAATCAAATCCAAGATCATTCACGATCATTCAGTACACCAATAAGGTTTACCATTTGAATGAATTTGTTCAATCATCAAACGAAACAGTATCCAAGATGAACTTTTGTTGGCAAAGGTTCCGCAGGCCAGGGAATATCTTGGTTGTCCAAGTGTTCTAAGTGATGTGTTATGCAAGGTACTGTCTCCTCTCCAAAAATAAGATAATCAAATCCAAGATCATTCACAATCATTCTCCATCCAAATAGCTTTAAGAATTTGAATGTATTTGAGCAAACATCCAATATATAAAACAATATCCAAGATGAACTTTTGTTGGCAAAGGTTCCGCATACTAGGCGATATCTCCATTGTCCAGGTGTTCTAAGTGATGTGCCATGCAAGGTATTGTCTCCTCCCCAAGAAATAAAACAATCAAATCCAAGATCATTCACGATCATTCAGCACACAAATAAGGTTTACCATTTGAATGAATTTGTTCAATCATCAAACGAAACAGTATCCAAGATGATTTTTTGTTGGCTAAGGTTCCGCAGGCCAGGGCACATCTTGGTTGTCCAGGTGTTCTAAGTGATGTGTTATGCAAGGTATTGTCTCCTCTCCAAAAATAAGATATATAATCAAATTCAAGATCATTCACAATCATTCTCCATCCAAAAAGCTTTAAGAATTTGAATGTATTTGATCAAACATCCAATAAAACAGTATCCAATATGAACTTTGTTGGCAAAGGTTCCGCAGGCCAGGGCATATCTTGGTTGTCCAGGTGTTCTAAGTGATGTTCCATGCAAGGTATTATCTCCTCCACAGGCTTCTAGGTTCAGAGAATCTTACAACAGAAAAACCTTCAAGCAGTCAAGATCATTCACCACCAGAACAGTGTTTAGCATTTGAATGTACTTGGTCAAACATCGAATGAAACAATATCCAAGCTGAACTTTTGCTGGCAAAGGTTCTGCAAGCTAGGGCATATATTGGTATTCCAGGTGTTCTAAGTGATATATAATGCAAGGTACTATTTCCTCCACTCCTGATTTCTAGAAAAGACTTTCAAGATTTCAATATATATATATATATATTCATAAAGTCTTCCTGAGGTATTTGGCAAATGTGGAGGGCAATTTGAGTCGAAAGTTCCTGAAGAACCAGTTCCCGACCGAGAATGGGGCAAAAGCAGCAGCGGTTGCATTTCGGAAGAAGAGTGTCTCCATGCTAGAATCTTTTGAGAACATGAAGGGGAAGGCCCGGTGAGACAAATAGATAGGGCATATCAATATATATATATATGTATTTAAAATTGTGAATATATATATATATATGCACGGGAAGAATGGTGGTGGCATTCCCCCAGTCACAAACAAACTGTACATGGGAAGAATGGTGGCAATGGATTTTCTCAGTCATTGTATATACACCCCCAAAATTGGAGCCAAATTATGGTACATAAATTTTATAATATATTTGCCATCATATGGGTTGGACCTACCAACAATCTTTGCTAGGCACAGGCCCGAAAGATATGGATGGACAGTCACAAGTTCAAGTCTACGGGGAGTTTGAAGCAACAGAGAGATGGTATGGTTACAGCCCTTTGTTTGGGTCATTGCCGAGAAGCTGAACAACATATCCTCAATGCGGTACCAATGTCCTTGGCATTGAAGCCTTCGGATATAAAGGTTGAGCTTCACCCTGGTGATCCCAAATCATACTTAGCAAGTGTGAGTACAAGTACAGGGGAGGTGATCAGCAAGAAAATCGACACTTTGAAGGATGTCAACGACTGGCTTCTTTCAATGTGTGAGTCAAAAAACAATGGAATCCTTGAAGCTGGTTTGAAAAAGGTGAAAGCCACGGTAAAACCACAAGTTGAGATGGAAAAGGCAGTAGATGAACTTATGAGTTCAAACCATGGAGCTGCCAGTTCATCATCCTCCAAACCAACTCTAGATTTGGGTTGTGAATCTTCCCTCTTGAAAGCCCCAAGCGAATTTGTGGATGTGACTGCACAATTTTTGGGGAGCAAGATTGAATCTACTGTGGATTTGCCTTCGTCCACGGTGTGCATTCACAAGGGGTCATTGACCAACTACCGAAACATTGCATATTCAAACCAGTCTGTGTATGGAGTTCTGTTTGGCAAACATGCCTGGAATGGCAAATTACATTGCACCAACGTGGTCCTCATCAGTGACACAGCCCGTTGTGTTTCAGCCATTTTGGAAAATGAACAAGTCATGAGACATTGCAAGTCGATTGGTCTGCAGTGTTGTGGTATTCTCTTGGCAGGGCCCTCCTCACACTGGAAACATGAAGAGCATCGTCAACATGCTTTGGCAGGTCTTGAATGTTCTGAAAACCCCATTCTGATTGTGGTGGACTTTGATGAAAAACACACTGGAGAAATATCATGTTGGGAGTTGAACATGGAAGAGAACAAAACGGTACCGGTTTCTTTGTCCTACACAAGCAATCCTCACGATGTGAAGAAACGATTGTTGTACAGCATTTGCTGGCTCCAAGATCTTGGGGTTGGACACATACAGCATGCAACTTCCAAGATATGCTCAGCTTTGATCAAAAGCCTCATGGAGATGAATGAAAAGAAGAAGCACCAATTCCAGGCCCGAAAAGTCTTCTACAGAAAAGTCCGGGTGCCCGCGGATGGGCTTTGCGGTTGGTACTGCCTCTTGGCAGCCCAGGATCCAAGTGCGTGGGAGAAGATACCACGTAGTGAAGGGTCTTTCCCCATCAATCGTCAGATACACCAACAGGAATTGAACAATGCCAAGACTCTGCATAGAGATGTGTGTGAGAAAGCCCTGACTGTTTGCAATGAGTCTTATCATGGAGCTATCCGGGATGTGTTGGCACATCCAAACTTTTCACCTGCCAATTTGGAATGGATAGCCTACACATTGTCCATCGCAATTCGCTGCACATGCGATCCCAAGGCTAGGAGTTGCCAAATTCCTTGGGGGGTGGATCACTTAGAACACCATAAGATAAACATGCTCCATTGTGTTCATACGTATATGTTTATATATAAATAACAAATTAAGATAATATATATATATATGTATGATCCATACTGATCCATTATGTGTCAAATAAATATGTATATATATATAAACATACATATTTATCATATATATATATATATAGATTTTTCTGGATCTTGAAATTGTTCCTATTGATGCCCTTCCACACACGCAGGTTGGCCTCTATGATGGGACACAGTTGGACACAATCTATGGATGCGGAGAGCCTAATGTTCACATGCTGTTCTCATTTGACAAGGCTGTGGCAGGAAGCCATGACTTCGGGCATTTCACTTTGCTCATCCCAAGCCATTCCAAAGGTGGTGATGGCCTACAGCTGGATGAATATGTTTCCTGGTCCAGCACCCTACTCAATGTTTTGTGTATATATATATAGTTTTTGTTTCATATATATATATATATAGACATACCATGAAGCATCGGATATATGCACCTAGTTCTACCCAACCGCCTGCCATAGGTTGGTATGAAGGTTGCAGAAGAGAGTCAAAAGCTTCTATCCCTTATGGCAAATGACGATCCTACAACAGTGCAAGCAGCCATCACAGACGAACAAGCAAGTGCAGGACACAGCCCAAAGAACAACCACGATGAAAATCACAAGCTGCCTGCAGAGCCAGAACTTGCTTGCAGGACCGCACACTTAGAACAGTCCCAGAGCCAGCAGCAGCCAGTTCAGCCAACTCCACAGGAGAAACACGCAGAGACAGCAGCCCCAACATCTCCTCGACAAGAGCCAAAGAAGCAAGAGCAAGATCAACAGCAGCCAGCAGTTGAACAAACAGCAAAAAGCAACATCAATCCAGGAGATGACAAGCATCCAGACAAGCCAGAACTAGCTTGCAGCACCGCACACTTAGAACAGTCCCAGAGCCAGCAGCAGCCAGTTCAGCCAACTCCACAGGAGAAACACGCAGAGACAGCAGCCCCAACATCTCCTCGACAAGAGCCAAAGAAGCAAGAGCAAGATCAACAGCAGCCAGCAGTTGAACAAACAGCAAAAGCAACATCAATCCAGGAGATGACAAGCATCCAGACAAGCCAGAACTAGCTTGCAGCACCGCACACACTTAGAACAGTCCCAGAGCCAGCATCAGCCAGTTCAGCCAACTCCACAGGAGAAACACACAGAGACAGCAGCCCCAACATCTCCTCGACAAGAGCCAAAGAAGCAAGAGCAAGATCAACAGCAGCCAGCAGTTGAACAAACAACAAAAAGCAACATCAATCCAGGAGATGACAAGCATCCAGACAAGCCAGAACTAGCTTGCAGCACCGCACACTTAGAACAGTCCCAGAGCCAGCAGCAGCCAGTTCAGCCAACTCCACATGAGAAACACGCAGAGACAGCAGCCCCAACATCTCCTCGACAAGAGCCAAAGAAGCAAGAGCAAGATCAACAGCAGCCAGCAGTTGAACAAACAGCAAAAGGCAACATCAATCCAGGAGATGACAAGCATCCAGACAAGCCAGAACTTGCTTGCAGGACCGCACACTTAGAACAGTCCCAGAGCCAGCAGCAGCCAGTTCAGCCAACTCCACAGGAGAAACACGCAGAGACAGCAGCCCCAACATCTCCTCGACAAGAGCCAAAGAAGCAAGAGCAAGATCAACAGCAGACAGCAGTTGAACAAACAGCAAAAGGCAACATCAATCCAGGAGATGAGAAGCATCAAGACAAGCCAGAACTAGCCTGCAGGACCGCACACTTAGAACAGTCCCAGAGCCAGAAGCAGCCAGTTCAGCCAACTCCACATGAGAAACACGCAGAGACAGCAGCCCCAACATCTCCTCGACAAGAGCCAAAGAAGCAAGAGCAAGATCAACAGCAGCCAGCAGTTGAACAAACAACAAAAGGCAACATCAATCCAGGAGATGACAAGCATCCAGACAAGCCAGAACTAGCTTGCAGCATCGCACGCTTAGAACAGTCCCAGAGCCAGCAGCAGCCAGTTCAGCCAACTCCACAGGAGAAACACACAGAGACAGCAGCCCCAACATCTCCTCGACAAGAGCCAAAGAAGCAAGAGCAAGATCAACAGCAGCCAGCAGTTGAACAAACAGCAAAAAGCAACATCAATCCAGGAGATGACAAGCATCCAGACAAGCCAGAACTAGCTTGCAGCACCACACGCTTAGAACAGTCCCAGAGCCAGCAGCAGCCAGTTCAGCCAACTCGACAGAAGAATCACACAGAGACAGCAGCCCCAACATCTCCTCGACAAGAGCCAAAGAAGCAAGAGCAAGAGCAACAGCAGCCAGCAGCAGCAAGAAAACGACCAGCAGCAGAAATCAGCAACAATCAACAGGATCAGAAGCAGCCACCAAATCCAACCCAGGCTCGAGCCAAGAGGCGCCTGTGGCCGGAATATTCAATCAAAGTGATTCCCCCTGGTGCGAATGCTGGAGTTGAAGTGAAACAAGAGATTTTTTCCAGCCCAGAGCCGTCACAACATGTGAAAGTTGAAGTGAAAGAAGAAGTTTTATCCAGCCCAGAGACATCGCAGCCATCAAAGCTTACCAGCAGCAGCAAATGTCTACCGAGAAGGCAGGGCAGCAGAAATCAACATGCTGAATGGAAGGCTGTGTCAGCACCACCCGAGCCTGAAATCAGCGCTCTGTTTCAAGGAAAGGCAGAATCACCAACACCACATGTGGAAGATGTGTGCTTGTTTGGGGACCTACTGGATGCAGAAAGTACATGTGCAGGAAAGAATGACAAAGATTCACAGTTGGACCAAAATCTCACACGCAGATTTCAGAGGATAGCAACAACACGGCAGCAGAAGCAGCAGCCGCAGCAGCAGCAATATGCAAAGCACAGCCTGGATTCAGACGTCCGTGAATCACCAAGACCGTGGAAACTGGCAAAGTTGAGACCACACAGCCAACACAACAAGTCACCAGCTTCAACTACCACATCTAGCCCAGAGAACTTAGACAAAAAAGTGAATTGCATCATACTGCTAGAGAGCACCTGGGAAAAATTGGTAGCTGGCCAAAGTACAACAATTTTTCGTACCTACTCCTTGCGGACCGCCCCACTACAACTTCATGTGCTTTCCCGTGGGGATGGCAGCTTCACTTCCTATGTTGGGAAGATGACGGTTCGCGAAGTAGAAGCTGTGACCTCTAGTCGCACTGTCAAAGACTATGAGAACAACCCTATGGAGGTCAAATTCTGGTCTGATAAGGTCAGGAATGAGAAAGAAGTTTTCATATGGAAGATCAGCACAGTGCAGGCATGGGATGAACCCAAGCCGATTCGGTTTCTCCAGGCAAAGTATCGGAACAGGCACTTTCAGGTTCCCAAGAGACAGCTCATGCAAGGTTCTGCGGGAATGGAGACTCCTATGCCGTCCTTGTATGCAACATCAGCTTGGTTCGTGCGTTTGCTGAGCATCTCTCAATACCAGCACCTCAAACGTGTGGCTCTAGAACTGGATGGAACTGATTTAAGGATTGGTACCACATGTTCCGGGAGCGACATTTGCATTGTGGCCATTCATGGTTTGATGGAAGCCATCAATGCTGAGTTTGGTGTTTCTTGATCGCAATTATATATGTTATATGTCCAAAAAATCCATATATATATATACAATATACATAGCATATGGTATATATATATAGTTAGGGACCTACACCTACACTTAGAACACTATTTGGAAAACGAAAATTGTTGATTTATACATCGGGGATCCCATTTTGTTCATTCTTCTTGGGTGAGTGAAGTGTTCTAAGTGAGGTAATATATAGGGGAAAGACAGTCTTCCTGCTGGTGCTTTCCAGGTCAACATTGGTGTCAAACACGTCTTCTCAGCAGAGCTTGACCCGAAGAAACGTCAGTACATTTTGGATTGTCATCAGGCTGATCACGTGTATGGCGATGTCATCGCATTCAGCAACCAGAGAGGGCACTGCTACCGGTGCAATTGTGTTCACGAAATCAATGAAGGAAATATGTCTGTCGACATTTTCCTGGCAGGAACCAGTTGCAAGGACATTAGTTCCTTGCATGAAAAACTATGTTCTCTCTTTCTTTCTTTCGTTCGTTCTTTGTTTGTTTCTTTCATTCTCTCTCTCTCTCTCTTCATATATAAGTTCTCAAGCATCCGTCCTTGTATGTTTGTAGGTATGTAGATCTGCATGTATATGTATATACATATGTATACATATATATAAAGGTATATATATATATAGAGAGAGAGTCTTGGACATACATTAAAAACATCATGTATATCTATCTATCTATCTATCTACCTATCTATCTATCTATCTATCTATCTATCTATCTATCTATCTATCTATCTATCTACTTATCTATCTATCTCTATCTACTATCTATCTATCTATCTATCTATCTATATTTATATATTAATGTATATGTACTTGTTTCCTCCTCAGTGTTGTAAGTACAAACCATCCTCAGCAACCGCCTGAGGTCTTTTGAATGCGAAGCGCAAAGACTTTGCAGGTAGCTACCAGTCTGGAGAAGGTTTCGGAACATCTGCACACACTTACAAGCACGGCTGGAAGGGAGTGCCTTAGCACCTATATCCAGCGGGAGATGGGTTCATTTTGGGAGCCTCCACCCACCAAGGTGGTATTGCTTTTTCATTTATATAAATGTGTGCACCTTTAGCTTTTAAAAAACAAATCGGTATTCAAGGAGTGTTCCCCTTTGAGGCTACCAAATGTTTGACATATATATATTATATATATATATGTTATGTTTAGTAGATAGCGTTGTTTGTATGAAACATGTGTTCTAAGTGTGGAATAGATAAGGACAACTGATGTATTTTTATTTATATATGCATGTATACCTGTTATTGTATATATATAAATGCATGATCAATAAATATATAGATAATATCATTGCCCTTTGTATGTACAAGTGTTCTAAGTGTGGAATATACAAGGACAATAGCCACCTATCTATGGGGATACTGGAAGAAAGTGTTCATTTTCCGCTCATCAGAACCAAACAGTGGGGTAACCATATCCAAGGTTGTTGAGCTTTTGTGCCCCATCATGTCCATCTATGAGAATGTGAAGGGCGCAATGGAGCGAAACACAGATGCAAATGGAAGGAAGCATCCACCTGCCATTCAAACTGTTGAGAAGGATGCCAATGAAAATGGCTACCATTTCGCACCTGGACTGATGATGTGTTTTCCACCATCATCGGGGTCATCATCATTATCATCATTGTCGTCGTCATCGTCTCCATCACTAAATACATGTATGAGTTTGCTCACGTGGTGCAGCCACCATGGTATATATATATACAAAGGCATCTGTATATATATATATTTGATATAAATTATATAATGTTAAGTGCCGTGCACACACACACATACCGATATATATATATATACATTTGTATCATTGTATGACAAATATGTGTTGAAAACACTTCCGCTGTGACTCAGGTATGGTCGCTGCTTGATTCACAGGACTTCCTAGTGCGGCATCGACGCAATCGGGTTTGGGGAGTGGCAGCAGTAAATTCAGGGCAACAAAGCGAGGCTGAATTCCAAACTTTGTACAAACGTGCAATTTCATCTCTACAAACCCACTGCCACTTCTCTATGCGGGATACATTTGGCCGATATCCTAAAGAGGATCCCAAGACTGATCGGGAGCGGGAGCTTCTTGAGAAGGCAGTGGAGAAATTCAAAGGGGAAACTTGGTTATTTTGCTTAGCACCATATGATTTCCATTTTGTGAATGGTTACCAGTGCAGGACGTTACACTTAGAACACATGGTTCCTTCCCAGATTTTCCTGTATCTTTTGCTATATATATATATAGATATATAGTTTATTTATATATATACACAGATATATGCACCATTATATAACCAAGTGATGGGATTCCATTGGTGTGAGTGGTTCACCTCTATGCTTGCAGGGGAATACACTTAGAACACATTGATCCTTCTCATTGATTTGGGTTATATATATATATTTATATTTATATAATTTTATATACACAGATATATGCACCATTATATAACCAAGTGATGGGATTCCATTGGTGTGAGTGGTTCACCTCTATGTTTGCAGGGGAATACACTTAGAACACATTGATCCTTCTCATTGATTTGGGTTATATATATATGGGTTACAAATATTGATGGTATCTAAGGAAGGAGTCGGCAGCCACAATCTGTTTGTCGACATGAGTTCGTCTCTTCAGAGGAGGGAGATTCCGGAGGCATGTGTGGATTGCTCAACGTGCATCACGCCATCTCATTCAATCTATTCAACCTTTTTGAAGAGGTATGTCAAGCCAGTGGAAATGCTAGGCCTACAAGCAATCTGGGAAAATGATGCTAGAAACCCAGAGGCTTTCAAGGCTATGGCTACAAGTTCCTGGGCACAAGATCTATGTGGCAATGGGATGACGGGCACGGTGGTCCAAGCTGTTGTCTTAGCTGCCTTGGCATCTTCAGATGCTTTTCTACACATCCAACGTGGAGATATTGCTGCCGCAAGCCCTTCAGCATCTGGCGCGGATGTGTCACCAATAGCAGCAGCTGCAGCTGGGTCAAGACCGCATAGTGGGGGTCACCAGGTGGTAGCTTCTACTGAAGGTGATCAAGAAGTGACTGAGCCAGTCCCATCAGCCAGGGGCAGGAAACGCAAACAGGATAGCCCAAAGAAAAAGGAGAAGTCGGTAGAGTTACCAGTTCCAAAAAAACGTGTTCGTGGGAAACAGACACTGTTGTCGATTCCACCAGCAAAGAAAAAACATGGGTCTGGACCAGGAAACACAAAGGCAACAGGAAAGAGCGCGATGGTCTCCATTTTTCAACGTGAGGCTATTTGCAAAGCCTATGATGATATTGTTGAGAAAGGTTCAAAGTATCCTGACAAAGACCTGAAAAAGTTGAACATGCATGGCTATTACAGAGGATGCGCCCTACCTAGCAAGTGGGGAAAAGCCCGCCAGGAACAAAAATGGGGTTTACTTTGCATGACTGCTCCAGCGCTTTGCAAGGCCAAAAAGGAGCTGCCCAATAGCCTACGCTTGGTCATCAATTTTCCCACACTCAAGCATGGGAATATGCATGCACACTCAGAGACGAGGACAATGTTGCCGGGTGTCTTGAAGGGTGCCGTGGAGGAGCTGGTAATGGAAAGAATTGACCAGGGTGAAGAAGTTGGTGTGGCATTTGTCAAAAACACAATCCTTTTCTTGGTTTCGGTCTGGAATGACTGCGTGCTTTCCATTCGTGAGCTGATTAGGAACAAAAACTTGGACATGCTGAAAGATGAGGATGAAAAGTTGTCCAAAATGTCCAACAAACAGTTGGATGAGCTTTTTTCTTCTCTCACCAAACGTGCTGATGAAATTTTGGTGCCTATCCAATTGGCAAAGTCCGATGATGCCCTGACGAACCTTGTCTGGGGACAATCACTTTGTTCTGGTTGTTTTGGAACCAACCACCAACAAAACAGGTGCCTGTTTCCCATATAGTTGTTAATATATACAAATGCATTTGGATATAACCAAAAAGAGGTACATATATATATATATACACATATCTGCTATATTTGCTATATACAGTTCAGGACATACACTTAGAACACATTCGGGAAAACAGGATTTCCATGTTCTGCAGGGGGAATGTATATATATATATACATGCGAGGGACCACAATGAGTACTGTATATTTTGGACTTTGCGTGTACCAATAAAACCAGGGATAAATAATCAGTTCTTGGCCCACCATGGTTTTATAAGTTTATGTGGACATAATTGCCCCATCACAAGAAAATAGCCTTAGCCATCCTTAGCCATTGTTTGATCATATACCTATATATATATAGATTGAACGATCCGGCATATGTGTTCTAAGTGATGACCACCAACCCATTTCTGCTCAGGAAGCAGGCACACAGGATTTGCAACATGTATGGACTTCGTTTGAAGTCCATCGAAAAGCCTGGAGCGCACTTGGCCTACGATTCTCCGGCTTTAGAAGCAGTGAGATCACAGATCCGTGCCTTGATAGAATCAAAACATGTGCATCCCCAATTGGTCATGAACTTTGACCAGGTCTGGTCATTGCGATTCAGACCTCGGAAAAAATCCTATATGAAGGATTCGAAGATGGCTGGGGTGCAAAAGGACCCATTAACTCGGTCAATGTACATGAGAAAGATACGCCATTCTTTGCAGCAATGTTTGGACCTACCATTTAGTGAGCCAAACCCAAGAGAGCCACCCAGAATTCTTGCCCCAAAACCCCCGACAGTACTGGGAGGGAAGGCAGCTTGTGGAATGATAGATGAATGGAGGGTGCCAAGAACGGTTACCACCCTTTCATTTGCTGATGGCTATTGCGGACGACTACATGTGACTCTGCGGGAGGGATCGCTACCAGAGGAGAAACGCAATGCTCTCAACGAAGAGCTCAGGCGATGGCTGGTCATTGATCAACAACAGTCGAAATCGCACATGTGGAACGAGAATACCCTGGTGAGGTATTTATCACATTTGTCGCAGGAGATTTGGGGGACAGGGAGGAATCACTGGGCTATATATCATATATATATATATACCAATAAGAAAGTATATTATACTTGTGGACATACACTTAGAACATCAAAAGTACTCAGACAGAACCTGATCTCCCCTTATCATTTTGTTTGCACTGGAACACTTGCAGTGACCCACACTTAGAACATCATGTTTTTGCGCAGTCATCTCTTTCTCTCTCTAAATATGCACCCATCCAATGGATTGTTCGAACAACAAACACTGAACAATATTGTAAGACACTCTTAGTAAGACACTTTTAGTGAGACACTCTTGGTAAACAACTCCTTTATATATATATAATCGTGAGCCCGCCAAAGGTCCCTAGCACTTACACACACATATATATAGTGTACATGAAGACATTATGTACAATTGTCCCTATACAGGATTCACACTTAGAACACCATTTCCCAATCACGACCCCTGCTGTTGATGTTGCAGGAGTTGCGACACCGCCGAAGACAATTGAACCTAACCATGCAAGACCGTGCCTTGTGTTTCTATGATCAGGCTGCTGCACACATGTCCAAATCATTCCTCAAAATCCAAGAGAAGTGGTCAGAAGAAAACAATTGCGACACTTGTTAGGATTTAGTATTTTGTATATGTATATATATATATATATATTTATATATATATATATATATCTATCTATCTACCGAATCTTTCTGCGTCTGGAGCTCATTAAACGTATATACATATATATATATATATTTGTTCACCAGGTAGAAATCCCGGTTGTCGGCTGTATATATATGTATCTATTGACATCTTTAACCATAAATATTATAAATATATATATATAGCTGCTATGTTTTAATCATCATTTTAAATCGGTATATATATATATGTATATATATATATACATATATTTTATATATATATATATATATGAGTGTGTGTGTGTGTGCCTCCTGTGTTTCCAAGTCAATCAATCGCCTTAGGAACTGATGAACGGTCACTCAGAGGTGCCAATACCTGGTGGTTTTGGTGCCTCTGGGGCACCCAACGACAGTTGGCACCAGGTATTGCATAGTCTTACAAAGAGTTATACTCGATTGGCTGTGGGGTGGGCCGAATTTCCACACCTCCGTCGAAGATTGGAGGAACTGGAATTTTCAGTGCAGGGCCAACCTTCTACAAAGTTCCTGGGTTCATCTGTTCTGGTGGGCAGGATTACACTTAGAACACGTGGTTCTTTCCCACATTTCTACTATATATATATATAAAGAAACACCCACAGATCTACCCAAGAGTAATGGAGGGTCATCCCTGGATGAAATGACAATGAAATCTATTGGTTGGTTCTTAAGAATGAGACAGTTTTCCATGTGATATTATTTTCAATACCCAAATGTTTCAAAGCTAATGGATGGAGTTCCCTTATGTTCCCTTTGGGCCACAGGTTCATCTGTTCTGGTGGGCAGGATTACACTTAGAACACGTTGTTCGTTCCCACATCTCTACTATATATATATATATATAAAGAAACACCCACAGATCTACCCAAGAGTAATAAAGGTCATCCCTGGATGAAATGACAATGAAATCCATTGGTTGGTTCTTAAGAAAAGATAGTTTTCCATGTGATATTATTTTCAATACCCAAATGTTTCAAAGCTAATGGATGGAATTCCCTTAGGTTCCCTTTGGGCCACGGGTTCATCTGTTCTGGTGGGCAGGATTACACTTAGAACACGTTGTTCGTTCCCACATCTCTACTATATACATATATATATATATATAAAGAAACACCCACAGATCTACCCAAGAGTAATGGAGGGTCATCCCTGGATGAAATGACAATGAAATCTATTGGTTGGTTCTTAAGAATGAGACAATTTTCCATGTGATATTATTTTCAATACCCAAATGTTTCAAAGCTAATGGATGGAATTCCCTTAGGTTCCCTTTGGGCCACGGGTTCATCTGTTCTGGTGGGCAGGATTACACTTAGAACACGTTGTTCGTTCCCATCTCTCTACTATATATATATAATATGTAAAGAATTACCCACAGATCTACCCAAGAGTAATAAAGGTCAGCCCTGGATGAAATGACAATGAAATCTATTGGTTGGTTCTTAAGAATGAGACAATTTTTCATGTGATATTATTTTCAATACCCAAATGTTTCAAAGCTAATGGATGGAATTCCCTTATGTTCCCTTTGGGCCACGGGTTCATCTGTTCTGGTGGGCAGGGTTACACTTAGAACACGTTGTTCGTTCCCACATCTCTACTATATATATATAAAGAAACACCCACAGATCTACCCAAGAGTAAGGAGGGTCATCCCTGGATGAAATGACAATGAAATCTATTGGTTAGTCCTTAAGAATGAGGCAATTTTCCATGTGATATTATTTTCAATACCCAAATGTTTCAAAGCTAATGGATGGAATTCCCTTAGGTTCCCTTTGGGCCACGGGTTCATCTGTTCTGGTGGGCAGGATTACACTTAGAACACGTTGTTCGTTCCCATCTTTCTACTATATATATATATAAAGAAACACCCACAGATCTACCCAAGAGTAATAAAGGTCAGCCCTGGATGAAATGACAATGAAATCCATTGGTTGGTTCTTAAGAAAAAGATAGTTTTCCATGTGATATTATTTTCAATACCCAAATGTTTCAAAGCTAATGGATGGAATTCCCTTAGGTTCCCTTTGGGCCACGGGTTCATCTGTTCTGGTGGGTAGGATTACACTTAGAACACGTTGTTCGTTCCCACATCTCTACTATATATATATATATTTATAAAGAAACACCCACAGATCTACCCAAGAGTAATGGAGGGTCATCCCTGGATGAAATGACAATGAAATCTATTGGTTGGTTCTTAAGAATGAGACAATTTTCCATGTGATATTATTTTCAATACCCAAATGTTTCAAAGCTAATGGATGGAATTCCCTTAGGTTCCCTTTGGGCCACGGGTTCATCTGTTCTGGTGGGTAGGATTACACTTAGAACACGTTGTTCGTTCCCACATCTCTACTATATATATATATTTATAAAGAAACACCCACAGATCTACCCAAGAGTAATGGAGGGTCATCCCTGGATGAAATGACAATGAAATCTATTGGTTGGTTCTTAAGAATGAGACAATTTTCCATGTGATATTATTTTCAATACCCAAATGTTTCAAAGCTAATGGATGGAATTCCCTTATGTTCCCTTTGGGCCACGGGTTCATCTGTTCTGGTGGGCAGGATTACACTTAGAACACGTTGTTCGTTCCCATCTCTCTACTATATATATATATAAAGAAACACCCACAGATCTACCCAAGAGTAATGGAGGGTCATCCCTGGATGAAATGACAATGAAATCTATTGGTTGGTTCTTAAGAATGAGACAATTTTCCATGTGATATTATTTTCAACACCCAAATGTTTCAAAGCTAATGGATGGAGTTCCCTTATGTTCCCTTTGGGCCACAGGTTCATCTGTTCTGGTGGGCAGGATTACACTTAGAACACGTTGTTCGTTCCCACATCTCTACTATATATATATAAAGAAACACCCACAGATCTACCCAAGAGTAAGGAGGGTCATCCCTGGATGAAATGACAATGAAATCTATTGGTTAGTCCTTAAGAATGAGGCAATTTTCCATGTGATATTATTTTCAATACCCAAATGTTTCAAAGCTAATGGATGGAATTCCCTTAGGTTCCCTTTGGGCCACGGGTTCATCTGTTCTGGTGGGCAGGATTACACTTAGAACACGTTGTTCGTTCCCACATCTCTACTATATATATATATGTATATCTATAGAGTATCAGCCTTGGTTGAACATTGTATAAAATTCTACTGTCGGATTTCTTGTTTGTTTTTGCTTTTTCCATGAGGTTTCCCTTCATATATTTCTTTTGAGCAAATTAAATATGGATCCCTTGGTCAGCAGTATATTTGCACTGGCACTGCATGCCTTTCTGAGAACACAATGGTATGCTTATTTTGTGTCTCTACGTAAATAAATATATATATAAATATATATATATATACATATGTAGGTAAATATAGCTACATACATAGACATAGAATACAAATTGTTTTTAAGTGCCCAGGTGTCCGATCGAAGTGTCTCTGCGAGCCGATGCATTCGCAATGGCGCAGCTATCTCTGGATTCAAAGACTCTTGGTGTGGCAATATATGGGATGTGGTTGACAGCTGTTATCCATTATGGGGAACATGTGTGAATTTTTTTTGGCTTCAAAAAAAATATATCTATATATATATATACTCATATATTTTTGTTGTATTTATATATTGGCTGGTGAAATTTTCCTTCACATGGTCTCCGTAATTGGGGAAATTTGTCATTTTACAGCTTCCCGTCTGCTCTAAGTGACGGTCATTTGATGACAATGTCATGCTTAGGCACAACAAATTGATTTGGATTGGCTGGATGTCCCGCGGATACATCAGCGTGGAGGACATTGCCAGATGGCGGTTTGGAGGTATCTGGGATAAACCAGGGTTTCGCAGGGGTGTGGTTTCCAATCACTCCATGGTTCATGTTATGTGGAAATCTTTCCTTGGTTGGGCGAACATACACTTAGAACACATTCCGACCCTGTCATGTATGTATGCAACAGTTCTTATGTGTGGATTCGGTTTTTTCTTTTCCTGAATGATTTACATGATGAGTATATAAATCTATATATATATATATGTGATTTATTTCTTTATATACATACATATGTGCATTGTATGTACTTCAAGGGGCTGTTACACATATATATATATAAATAAATCATATGATGTCTTCCCATGCGTTTCCACAGTAGTGGTTTTATACACTTAGAACACATTTTCACAGTCATTTTACGCATAGCAGGGTTATTGCTCAAGTACAGTGGAGTGCGGCCCACCCATTTTTCAGTGGCATGTCTACCCCGGTTCCAGCCCCTTCCACCAGAGGAAGGAGGGGAAGGGCAGAAGATGATGACTGGATCATACCCTCCGATTCAGAATCCACCGCCTCTTTGACATCACAGGATGCTCGAGATATGGCCAATGAGCTGGGGGTTTCACTTGCTGATCTTGGATTTTCAGATTCTCGTCATGCTGATGCTCCCCGTGATCAGAAACCAATTCCGGTCGTCAAGACATCTCTTCATTTGAGCCGTTTTGTGATCGGCAGTCAAGAGGCTAAAAAGGCAGTGCAAGATTGCCTTGTCCAGTTTCGACTGCATCCAGGCTCCAAGCCGGTTGACCCTAAAAAGAAATCCAGTGTGCACCAGGAGATGGCATTTGTCAAGAAGGCCATGAGGGAGAAAGGATGGAAGTTGTGGTGCCTTGGGGGACACCCAAATTTCACTCCACAGTGGGTCAGGGCATCTTCATGGAAGAAGCTGACGAAGACTTTCTGAGATGAAGATCACGAGATCAATTGAGCCAGGTACGTTTCCATTGTAGCTTTTATTAGCCTGTGTACAGCTTGGAACTTTACCTGCTTTAGTTCCGCCATGTTTGACTCATGGCAAAGAGTTCATATATAGTTCAGATTGTAGCTTGCGGCGATGCCATGCTGACACATAGCAAATACCAAATGTCCTTTAGAGCCGACGGGTCGCATGAACATCTGGGCTAGGTACAATATTAATGCATAGCATAGGGGTGTGCAAATCAACGCTGTTTCTGCAATCAGCAGCAGCAAAAGTGTGCGGAATGAGCTGCAGTGGGGGTTGTTTGACGCAAGAATTCACAAAACACATGCTTTGTTGGCATATATATATATAAAATACAGCCACAAGCAAAGATTAGTTGTGCTTGTAAAAGTGGTTATATAAAATAAGATGTGTTCTAAGTGGTAGGTTTCTCAAGTTGCTGAGAGTCAAAAGGATGGTCTGGTACATTGGAATATCACGACGTCCACAATGTCTGATGCCCAGGTAAGACCAAAGAAGTGGAGGATCTACTTCAACATGACAAAGGTTCTATGCGTGATGTGCTGCAGTTGGAGGACCTCCCAGACATCACGCCTGATTCAGATGATTTGAATCATATGCGAGTTCAGGAGCTGGTGTCTTGGCGCCACTGACTGTTTGCATGTGGGAGCTGGAACTGTGGTAAGGCTTTTTTATTATACGTAGTGCATTTGGGCATGATATGTATATATATATATGTATATATATATATGTAAATAAATAAATATATATATATAAATAAATATATACAAATATATGTATAAATATCTATGCACACACACACACTTAGAACACATATATGTCACATATATACTTGCATATATACATATAGATAGATATTTAAATATATAGGCAGCTACACATAGGCGTATAAACACACATGTGTGGATCCTGTTTATTTCTTTGAGGCCTCAGTTGGCATGGTGCAGCATTTGTTCCAAGATATGTATATATACATATATATACATATATATATATGTCTGTGGGATAATATTTATGTATATATATATACATATAAATGCAGCATTGTTAATTTTTGCCTTTCAGCAGTTGGGCACACACACACTTAGAACACATGGACTATAATATATAAATATGTTTTTTGTTTTAATATATATATATACATATAGATGCATATAAATATATATATATATATACGCCTCCATACATACATACATGCATACATGCATGCATGCATACATAGATACATAGATGGATACATGGATACATGCATACATTTATTTGTTCTGCACCTTGCATGTACTTCAAGAAGTTGTTAAAAACACGCCCTGTTACGTATATAAACAGCTGCTCCGTGCACACTTAGAACACATCCCTTCATCACCATTGTCACATGCCAAGGAGGGTGAAGTGAGTCACTCTTGGTGCCTTCAAAGGATGGATGGTGCAGGGCAGCGGTATGTCTTGCCGAAGTGGATTGGAGATGTTCTTGAGGTACAAGTATGTTTGTTTGTGGGTGATCACAGCAAATGGGAAAAAATATCAGAGAAGGCAGCTCAAGGAAAACCATTGACAAAGTCCCAAAAAAAATCTTATGAAGAATGGCAGTCACGTTGTGAGCCACGTCTAGTCTTCAGTGCAGCAAAGAAAAAGCAGGTGACTGATGCTAGACAGGTGAAAAGGGACAAATCTTGTCTTGCAATCCAATTGCATCTTTCGGAGTCACCAGAAGAGCTACAAGTGAGTGCATCGGATGGAAGCCGCTATCTTCTTCTTCTGCTGAGAGGGCGCCCGCAGAAGCAAACAGTTCCGAAGGCCCGGGAGACAGCCAATGTTGAGGTGTTCTAAGTGTGTTGTATCAAAGGTGGGAGTGGCACGGGTTTCCAGTCATACTTATACATTGTATCTATTTATATATATATACATACATGTCATTTATTTATATATATATACATATACATGTCATATATTTACATGTGCATATGTATGTTTAATGCATGATCTTATATAAATGAATGCATAATGATATATATATATATATATATTCAATAAAAGAAACATATGTCTTATATATATATATACACACACTTAGAACACATATCACCTGAACCCCAGCCTGTTCTAAGTGTTAAATCATCCAGCTGACCGTGCAGGTTCTGAGTGGAGATGTTCCTGCTTGCGTCATTGAAGAGATGCAGAAGGCGGAAGAGGAGGCTGAACAGGGGTCTGGAGAAGTTCTTCATGACGATGGGGATCAAGCTGAGGCCCTCCCTGTCACTGACGAGATGCAGGACAAGATGTTGGACATGCAAAAGGCCCAGCAGGACGCAGGAGAGCAGAGTGATGAGCAGTCCGAGAATGAAGAGGGAGAGTACCTTCTGGCCGACTCGGATGAGGAGGTCAACCAGTTCCATGTGGTTTCCAAGGTGGAGAAGGTGAAGAGTTTTTCATTCCGAGAAGCATATGAGAAATTGGACAAGTTGGGTCTTTGCTCCTTGCCAAGGCATGTGCAAGGGTGCAGTCTGTCCTATCATGGAAAGGAAAGACGGTGGCAGGGTCTGTACCCTACCGCCAAGGTTGGGATGTCTTTCTCTTGGGGGGGAATCACCAAGAGAAATGAATGTGAAGCCTTGTTGTCTGCTGTGAGGGCAGTGCTTACAGCGCACTGCCGTGCCTGCCCAAAGGATAAATTGTGGGCAAGCCAGCTTGACAAAGTCAAAGTTGCTGAAGCCACCCAAAAGTTCTGATCTTGGGTTTGCTTAAGATTTTGGAAATGCAAAAATTGTATGTATATATATATATATATATACAGACATTATTTTCATTTTTTGTTTCAAAAAAAGAGACACGTTGTATACAGAGGATCCTGGAGCAAACCTGGGTGAATGGCCAGCAACATTGACCCATACCCGTACCATAGCTAGATTCAGCATCGGTCCACATGTCATCACTGGAGAAGGGCAGGGTGTTCTAAGAGTAGGGCCACCCTTGTAGTACAACCCAAACACATAGGGGTAGATATACACTTAGAACACTTGGTTGAATTTCCAATCAAAGAGAACCTGCAGTTTGAACACCGCCCAATGTGTCTATCATATGCAGATGTGTTTCTTCTATCATATAGGTTTTCTGGTTTTCTTTCGTACTGTGTCCCAGTGATACTTGCAACGACATGGTGTAGACCCAGATGATGCAGAAATATCCACAGATCCATTTAAATTCATATGATCAAAGACCAAAACATGGCTAAGACTGTGTTTGCATGTCCGTTCCATCAGCACGCAAAAAGAAGAGGTATGCAGTTTGTGCAAGAGATGTACCAGGGTTGCAGGGTTTCTGTATGAATCCTTTACTATATAAAATACACATATATATATATATTTCCTAATATTTTGCAAAATGATATATTTACATGCAGGGGCCTACACTTAGAACACATGTTAGAAAAATAAGATGTGTTCTAACACGTTTCTGATGATGTTCTAAGTGGCTCACTTAGAACATGTTCTAAGCCGTCACTTAGAACAGTTGGGGCGAATTTCTCCCGCAGCAAAACGGTGTTCTAAGTGTATGAAAAAAAATATTGGAAAACACTTTGTGTTCTAAGTGTATGTCCTTAACTATATTTGAAATCATCCACATATCTCATATCTGCAGCTTTTGCAGCCACCCTCATCATGTGAAGAATGCGCACAGGGCCTGCAGGTGCATTGGGAGATGCCTGGCATGGTCCCAAGAGGTCCCAAGGACTGCTGTGAATGAAATGGTTCAATGGGAGAATAATGATTAATCATGCCCCAAACCATTGTTTAACTTGAAATGGTATTGATTAATGTGAATAATTTAATCATAATAATCATCATCAATTATTAATTTAATTACTCAATTGTTTAATGGTTATTCATTGATTACACGCCCCTTTCTTTACAATTCAGTATCCCAAACCATTGTTTGACTTGTGAGTTATTGGGGAAACCATGGACAAAAAGATATAAATGATAAATCCATGATGAATTGAAGCTAACCAACTCTCATAACTTGTGAGAATTATGGTGAATCATGGTTTATTCAATGGGATGTTCAATCGGATACCCTCCGCTGTCCTCGAAACTATTTCTGATGGGTATTCCAGTAAGCTATGTTTGATTAGCGGGGGGTAACTTTTGGCCCAATGAAGAATCTCTTTGGCTGATAAAATTGAAACCTATCTTTGGTCTATGAAGATCTTGATGAGGTAAATATGTTCTTTGTTGGTCAATCTCTATCTTTGGATGGTAGAATCTCGATGTTTGCAGTTGTTTCTTTTTTTTGTTTTGTGACATTCCGGTTGCTGCTGGTAAATGAATCTTTGTTTTTGCAGGTAAACTTCCCAATTTCTGTCGACATGTTCAACCTGTCAATATGGCACGTGTCCATATATATTTCCCCTATGTTGTTTTTTTTTCCAAAGACCTCTGGGGGCTTGATGGTATGAAGAACTCCACCCCGTAAAAACAATGGAATTCCTCCCAAAAAAAAACCAACCAGAAATTGATGCGGGACAAGAACTTTTTGCCATCCTCAACATCAACTACCTGATCTTTTGGGTCCCTAATTTCGATCCATACCCACACAGTAAGTGACATTCTGTGGGGTCATCATTTCGACCCGGTTCCGCGGCCCTTGTGACATATTGTTTTCGGGGTCCCGCATGGTAAGGATTTTCAACTGTGATATAATTAGTTTATATTAGTTTGATATAATAACTAGAAACAAAATGCTAAAATGCTCCAAGAGTTGGTTTATGGGGAACATTCACGGGACACCAACATGAATTTCTACCATGTTTTTCTACCCGGGACTTCCTACAGATTTTTCCGCATCGCCGCCGCACAGGTGCCACCTTCGCTTTGGCTGCAGAAGCTTTGGTGGGTTTCTTGCCCTGGCCCGAAATGAGATTTTTGACGACCAAAATGACCAAGATATTTTAGGTCTATTCATACCATCTGATAGAATCTGATTCTTGAATTCTCCTGAATCTAGGTGATTTTTCTGTGTATTAAAGTTTAAGCCGTAGCCAATCGAAGACTAGTTGATAATCGTCAAAACGCAACATGTCTTGCACTGAAGTTTGATAGATCTGTGGAGGAAGGCTCTTGATTACATCCCAAGTTCAATTAGTGTAGTTTACATCTCGCCTTGTTTGTTGGCCAAATCCCAATTTTTGTCTCTGTGCAAGGGGGTGTCCCCCAGGGGTAAGCTGGTATATACACACACACACCTTTAGCTGTATTCTAGCATAGAATTGACCTATAAACCAACTTCCCCATGATAAATCATCTCTAGATGCCACGAAATCACCATGTGCTGTTGGTTTGAATCTCCATATTTTCTTGGTTCAACATGTTTTAAATCCATAAAAACATTCCTGTTGAGTATGGCTTAAATCACCATGTCGCCTTGCTCTGACCGTCTGCCGAGGAGGACCTCGCGCGAAGTCGGGAAATCCGAGAGGTCCTCATCCCGCTTATCTATAGGATTCTACCGTTAATACTATGTTCTATGTATATACATTCTAAGAGATTATTTATACTATAATACACTAACATTGATAATACATACTATAATCTGTCATCATTCTATAGACATCTAAGATAATAAGTGATAGTACATACTAACATCTAAGAATCTATACTAGATGTCTATTCTGAAAAAACACAAAAAGTAAGATGTTTGTTACGCTTAGTTGTTAGCGGTGGAATCTGATAACAGATAGATCATACTAATTGACTAATAGATAATATTAACAGTTTGTTTGACAATTACGAATTGGGATCATAGTTGGGATTATAGATAATCGCTAATATAGTAGGCAACGTCTAATAGACCTTGGGAGTATAGATATGTGAAATAGTGAAATAGTAATGATGCTGCTTCATTACCTACATCTACATATTGGGATTTAATATATAATACTATTAGATAGATAATCGATAGTACTAATAATTGTTTTATAGATACATATTATTGTACTCCCAATTAGAAATATCATATTGTATTAAAACTTATAATTACTAATTGCAACGGCCAATGGATTATAGATAATTAATGATATTATGTGATGGGAGTTGCTATGCTAACCCGCAAAAGATAGAAAAGTAAATCCTACTCAGATAGTGATCAATCACCGTTCTATCTTTTTGGAGGTTACTGGTCTCTCCTCTATACCAATATCTAACCATTGGGGATGATTGGATGAAAATAGCTGAATTGTATTTATGAAAATATCTGGATGAATTGTAACAATAGAAACAATTGTATACTTATTAATATCTGGCTGAATTAACCTGAAAATAGCTGAACCATGTGGCCATTTGGGGATGATTCCCCGAATCCCAGCTGTCATTCCACTGACGAAAAAACTCCGAATCACAACTCCTTTAAGCACCCCCAATATGGGAAGATTGTGGGAATGGGGTCCCCATCATTTGGGGTCCAGGAATAATTCCACTCACTAAAACCACATGTAGCTGGGGTAATCTTAAATCCATCAGTGAACTGATCATGTTCTGTATTAAAATAGCCATTCGGGGAGGAGGTAAAACTCGTTTTCAGACACACTCAGGTGGTTGCATTTAGCCAAGTTATGTAATGGTAAATGTCCTACTAAAACAATGGTAATTTTGAACTGTTCTGAATCTTTCCGCGGGTTACTGAATATGGCAAAAAAGCAGCCTAAATTTGTGAAATTGAATGAAGCCATAAACGTGATACTTGAACAATCATGAGCTGTGTTTACTTTTACCCACACATGGTGGCTGTGCAACATCTTGTTTTTTTTTTTTTTTCTGGGTCAAATCTTTGCATGTATAGTGTATAGTCATAGTTAGTAAACACGGCGGATATGCAAAGCGAGAAACAGTACATACCCTCAGGTTACCTAACGTAGCTATGGAAAGTCACCACTTTAAAACAAGGCAAATCAACAAAAAATCACATATTATATAAATTGCCGCAGTAGCTATGTTAAATAAGCAAAGGGTATGTAAACAAAAGAAAATCGAGGCATCTGAAGACACCACAGCCTTGCCTGAACCATTGAATAACTGGCAAGCTGCTCTTCCAAACTGATTGGGCGGATCTTGATGTTGACAATCATCAGAATGGCAAAGGACTGGAATCACCAGCCGTCCCTTTCAAATCACCATACTCTTCACTAACCTCACTAAACACAGCATGTGCTTGCATTGGCATGTCTGAATTACCACAATTCATTGACCAAAAATGTTGTGACTTTTAGGTGCGCTCCCAAGCATATATGTGCTATAATCTTGAAATTACAACCAACAAAGAACTGATTTTATCTGAGTGTGATGAGATTAACATATTAAAACATGTTTTCAAAGTTTTACACTTTGGTTATTTGACATGGCTATGGAACATGGGCCATGTAGAAAATCATTTATCTGGGTAAATTATAATATTTCAGTCATCTGAATTAAGGCCATTTGGGGATGATTTCCCTTACTAAAGTGAGGTCGTTATAATTTATGCAGATTTATAGATGATGTACCTATTTGACACAATGATTTTCCATGGCCCAGCCTGCTTCTGCCGTGCTCCTGCTTGACAGGAACCTGGGCTGGTTTGGTATACCATCTATCATCATTTACCTGTTGTTCAAGGGGTCAGCAAACCCTTCTATTAATCAACCAACCAATGGGAAAAGGACATCTACGACGGTCAACGGGAGAACTATTTTGATCAACATCGATGTGATAAATTATAAATCATGTATGTATATACATATATATATAATAATATAATATATAATATATATTATTGTATATTTTATATTATTATTATATATATATTATAATATATATATATATAAATAACAATCTAAAATATATAATAATATATAATAATATATATATATATACATACATTATACAAAAGTGTATTACTATATGTCTGAATATCTAGTTCCATTTGCAATTCTTCTACCAATTAATAATTGTCAAACAGGCAGATCAGCCAGTGTACCTCTCTGTGTTCATCAACGAGTTAGAATTCAATGCAGGACATCTTCCAAGGACAGGATACCAGCTTGGCTGAGTAAAGGAAAGCCTCAAATCGGTACCACCCCGTCTGATATCATGGCAAATCCCATTCAATAGGATATCCTTAGCAGTTAGATGTAGCTCCAATTTTTTTCAATAAAATTGTATATGTTATGCAAATAGATGAACTGTCATGTCCTAGCCTTATTTTCTTTTACCATTTTGCTATAGAGCTCAATATGTATACTATAACTATTCACCAACCTGAATGGTCGGGCTATTTGGTGATGATTCCCCCAATCCCAATCATCATTTCTAGTGATGTCGCAGTGAAATCGCTATAATTTATCCAGATGATCCAGAAATTATCCCCATGAACACCACATTCTATCCCATGATACCACCATTTTTAAGGTGATTCAATGTATGAAATCCCCAATTTCGGATGATCAGATTTCTTGTTCCCCTGGTCTCCCAGTTCAAAAAGGGGTGCCCACACCATCCGACACCATGACCGGTGCCAAAAAACCAGCTGTCCATCCTCAGTTGGATGTGCAGCCTGCGCGGATGTGAAATCCAACAGCTTTCATACGGAGGGAAATCTGGGATTTCATGAGGTTAATTGGTTGGTGGTTAATTTGTATAAGAGGCCAGTTAGTATTAACCATTATCTCAGTTAACTAAGTTTCATACCAAAAACCAGCCATGATCTGATTTCATGATGGTTGCAATTGGTTGGTGGTTAATCAGATCATGGCTGGTTAATTGGTTATTTTCCTATGTGTTTATTGGTTAATCATATGGTTAATAGTGGCTAATAATGGCTAATCATGGCTGGTTAATCTTAATGGGTTTTGAAGATTTCCAGGGTCTCTTATATTGGTAGTTATTACTATCATTGTCACTATATGACATGCTCATGATATTCACTACTTGTATATACATATACTGGTTGGTGGTATACCTACCCCTCAAAAATGTGAGTTCGCCAGTTGGGATTATTGTTCCCAATTGTATGGAAAAATAAAAACCATGTTCCAAGCCACCAACCAGTAATGGGATTTGAAGAAATAGAACGAGATAAGAGATGAGAATTCCATGGGATTTTATGTTTTCTTTGTTAACATGGGATGTTTAATTATATATGTGTATTTTAATGATCAATGGGTTTTAATCCAGAATTATATATCTAATCATTGAGGTGTCCGATGGTTTTCATTAAATAGGTATAAACGTTCTAATTTGATAACACGATAAAACAATCTTGAAATCGTGATGAAAACAAGACAACATGGAGATGTCCTAAACCCAAATCCATAAACCCTCCAAGTATTCTTGTTCTTTTGTACTTAAGCCATGTCCCGGTAAAACTCCCGATCATTCACCAACAGTTGGGAACGTTTGGGCACCGTTCTGTTCTGTCTTCGTTGGTGAGGTCCCGGGAGAGACCCAGCCTGTGACTTGCGCACACCTGGAGAAGTGGCCGTCGAAGTGTGAGGAAATATGCGGGGAGTTCTTATCATAGGATCATATGGCATGCCTCTTCAAGAGCTGTCGCTTCAAACAATTTGGAGCTGGAAAATACTGAAGGAATCCAAACAAAAACTACAGAACGCTAGCAAATTCCAATCCTCCTATTCTGCGTGATCTGATATTTGGTTCTTTTTGGAGATCTCACCACTGGCACTCCATACATCTCCATACAATCAATTCAAAATCTACAGAAGAAACAGGGAATGCCGAAGGAAAATTAGAATTCAGAGAACATATTAAAGCTACAAAAACTTGAAAACCAAAGAAAAATCAGAGAAACTAGAAAAAAAATACAAAAAACCCAAAAATGCTACCAAAAGCTACACAAAAATAAAAAAAACTCGAAAAAAATGAAAAAAATAAAAATGCTAGAAAAAATAAAGCTAAACTGAAAACATACCACTTTTGGGCCGCCGAAGGGCACTCCCTCCAAGAGCTTTTCTTTAACATGCTTGAGTGTTATTCTCTAGTTTTTTGTTAGCTCCCAGCACCCTCGTCCAGTGAGTTGAAGAGGCAGGGCTCAAAATGGGGCATCCCAAACTATCCCAACCGCTGACATGTCATGGTCAAAATGTCTGTGGGAATCTGAACCACTGTTGAAGGTATATTGCTCTATGGCATCACATTTCATATGTTGCTGTACATATCTGAAAAAATCTGTAAATATGTGCGATATGGTTCGTATCCACACTATCGTAATCTATAGTACGGTGTCTATCGGCAATACCGAAAGGATACATCTACAAGGTGGCGCCACATATTTCATGTTGTTTTAGAAGCACCATTCATAGATATGTCTACCAGAAACCATTAAACTCATGTTGGTTATGAGTTACCCTCTGGTAAACAAACATAGCTATTGAAAATGGCCATTGAATAGTTGATTTACCCATTACAAATGGTGATTTTCCATAGTTATGTAGACGTTTACCAGAGGGTATATCATGTGATATCCCCCATAAACCATAGAATTCTCCCATGAAATCTGGCTGCATGAAATCCGCGGCGCCTGCTGCAGCCTGGCAGTGACAACAAGGGGTCTGGGAAAAATATAGGAACATACAATCTAGGTAAGAATACCTATTTAATATATATATATATATATATACACCCTATGGATCCAAACACCTCCTGAGTCTCCTGAGAAGGTACAAAATACCCCCCAATTCATACCCCAAACACTTCCTAAGAAGGTACTTGGATCCACAGGGTATATATGGGGTTTGCATAAATGGGGATCCCCAATAGCTGGATGGTTTATTTTAAAAAAAAAAACCATCTATGAATGGATGATGTAGGGGTACCCCCATTTCAGGAAACCTCCATATAATATGTACATATATATATATATATGATTAGTTTTGAAACAATCACACATATCATAAACCTGAAATTGACGTCTTTCAACAAACTTCAAATATCTTCAATTCTACCGGTGTACCGGGTTCACAACCCCATTTACTCCATCAAGCAAGCCATAACTTCGAGGGGCAAACATCCACCATTTCTAGAAAAACCATGAAAAACCAACCTGAAACAGGCCCAGGCCGAGTTTCTGAAGAAAAGCGCAGCCGTCCCCAGAAATTCAATGCTTCAATTTGTCCAAGTCCAATTTCTTCAAGTCGCAAAACCCTTGGTGAGCTCCTCAGCCCGGAAGCCGCCTTGGGTGCCACCTTGCTTTTGGCTTCCGCAGCCTTAGCCTCCAGGCGTCATCCAAGGTCATGAATTCTTCATGCAAAATTAGTGGTAACGGACTATGTACATCCATCTACACTATTAAATTTCACTGTTTCTATCCGTTTCAATCCATTTCTGCAAATGTCTCTAGAAAATGGGGATTTCCCATTTATGGCTACCAGCCACGTTTCAGTAACAAAACCATAAACAACCGTCCAGAGATCTTGGCAAAATATGGTGGATTTGGGATCTCACATGGTCCCATCTTCCTGGAAGGGTCTTATTTTGGTGGAAAAATTAGCTTGACTAGGCACAAGAACAAACAACAAAGATCCATGTCTAGGACAGGGGATATCACAGTGTTCGAAGCACAAACATGCTGGATATACCAACCAACAGATCAGGATTTATGGATTGAGTGGCAGCCACAATTGTGGCAATCTAACCACAAGTGGGAACGAAGCACTGCTAAGTGAATGGGGCGGCACACTTTTCCAACTTGATTTTTCCGCCAATTCTATCACCTTTTCTAACCCACTGATATAATCTGCACGAAGTTCCCAGCCTCCTTGGTCTTCGCCGCCTTCGCGTCCACCTTGCTCTTGGCCTTGGCCTTGGCCTCCTCGACCTTCGACGCGGAAGCCTTGGGCTCCTTGGGCTCCTTTGGGCAGCAGTGGAACTGTCGATATGGTTTGACATGGATTTATGGTAGTTTTTGGCATGCGGCTGATACGGCGCCCTTGGGAGGGTTGTTAATTTTGAGATGTGCCATTTACGATCCCCCGGGAAGATTGCAAATTCCAAAAATGAGACTTTCCGAAATGGTGGTATAGGATTTGATTTTTTGGCGTCTTTAACATGTTGCACATGCTGTCGTATGATCATCAGGGGGGTGGGGGTGGGGGGGGTGTATTGACGTCCTTGACGAGCACTTCTCTTACGTTACGGAACATGTACACGTTGCGCATGCTGTCGTATGATCATCGTGGGGGTGGGGGGTGTATTAACGTCCTTGACGAGCACTTCCTTTACGTTACGGAACATGTTGCCGTTGTTGACATGTTGCACATGCTCTCTGACGCGCTTTTGTTGGATTTCTTGCGTGAACCTATTTTGGTACCAAGGATTTTCCCCACAAAAGGTTCAAGATGGCCCAAGTCAAACACAAACAAAATATCTTTACTAAGACTTATCATGTTCGAGGTCGTTTGTGGGGTAGATCCTATAGAACCATTGTTGCTGGTGCTCAACAAATAGATGGAACATGGAAACACTTCAGAAAATGGCGACCTATGTCGATGCTCCACAAAAAAAACAACAAGTGTACCAAAAAAAAATACACTTGGGCCTACTGCTGGGCATGGTGTCACAATGCTGCCTTGTTGCAGTCTGTGGCTTCTGCGTTGCCTCAAGCGCTCTGGCACTGAAGCGTCGAGAAGAGGAAAAAACTGGATGAGTGAATGTCGGCCTGGTATGATTCTGATGATTGAAAATCATAGACTTCTAGTGTTTTTTTTGACCCTTGAAGAGCAAAATCGAGTCACCGCGCAGGCGAAACGCAAATTTTCACTCTTGAGTCACACGCCTGCCAATCGAAAGGAATGTCCATGTTGCAAACATTTTTTGGCGACTCCTGCAAATACCAGCATTTTGTCTCTTAGCCTCAAAAATCAGAATTTCAAATTCGTCACCCTTACAAGGGCGCCGAGTCAACCGGTTGCCTAGTTTTTGATCCCCAATTATAGAAATAGATTGGTTATCCCCATATAATCCCCATATAATCCCCAATTATAAAATAGATTGGTTATCTTGGGGAATCCCCGTTCATTCATTCTGATCCCCCAAAATCCAGGCTGCCGGTTGTTGATGGCCTCAATGGATCACAAGCCTTCATCGATTTCTCGGCCAAGTGGGGCAGGAAGGATACCCTGCCAATATTTCATAACACTTACCCTCTGGTAAACGTCTACGTAACTATGGAAAATCACCATTTGTAATGGGTAAATCCACTATTTCAATGGCCATGTTCAATAGCTATGTTAGTTTGCCAGAGGGTAAGGAACTGGGTTTCATGTTCCTCCATATTCTTGTGTCATAACACATCACACATAAGCAGTGTTCAAAACCCTTTGCCCATTGGATGACAACTATATCCCTGTGTTTTCTTTTGGTAGAAACTAGAAACCGGACAAAAAATCCTCAAACACATCAATAAACCACGTTTTGAACATTCAGCAGGGCTTGGCTGGTCCTTGTTAGCCTCCTTTGCAGCTTCCTTTGCAGCTTCCTTAGCAGCTTCCTTGGCAGCTTCCTTGGCAGCCTCCTTGGCTTCCTTGGCTTCCTTGGCCTCTTTGGCTTCAGCTTTCGCCTTGCTCTTGGCCACTTCCGCCGCCTGACGTGGAAAATCTGACTTTTTGCCACGTTTGGGGAAAATGCCACCAGTTCACTTGAAGTCATCTAAGAAATGTACTGTGTGTTGTCCGTGAAGTTCTTGCCTGAATATATATATATATTATGAAACATTATGATACACATACAGTCATTATTCTGTGGCTGATTGAGCAAATGTGCTCTTCCCAAACATGGTGGGATCACCACCCCTCAAAGATACATCTAATTTGAGTTGAACCAGTCGCAGCGGCAAAGGAGTGCAGCACACCTTGGCTTTCTCAGCCTTTGCCCTGAGGAACACCCCAGGTGAACACAAAACAATTGGTGCCAGAAAACCAACTCGTGGGCTGAGGAGAAAACCCATTTGTAGATTCTCTGAGATCTTTTTACGCAGATATGATATGGGTGTTGAGCCATTGCACTGGCGCTATCAAGGGTATTTGTCAAAATGATCCCCGAAATCCTCCGGTGTCATCAAAGATGGCGACCTGGGAAATGCCAGATAAATGGAGGTTTCTACCTTCTAGCTTGGAAAATCATTGAACGAAGTGGGGAATCTTGCAGCCATGTTTATCCATGTTTGATTGGCAGAGGGTAATACGACAAATTGACCAACCCATCTTTGAGCCCTGACGACTTGACCACGCAGGAAGAGCTTTTGACATCATCTGCCAGTGCTTGGAAAATTGTGAGATGGATCTCAGTCCAAAAACTTGTTTGGATCTTATCAAATGGGGGTTTCCATAAATTGGGGTACCCCAAAATGGATGGTCTATAAGGGAAAATCCATCTATAAATGGATGATTTGGGGGTACCCCAATTTTAAGGAAACCCCAAATTTGTTTGGTCAGGGGGGAATGCGGGTCCTAGAATTGCTACCATATGGAAGGCCCATGCAAAGGAATATGGCATAGTCTCTCCATTTTGGGCACCAATCTCCCTGAAACAAATGGTCCGTTGGAGGACACTGATTCATTTGATGGGAACATGTTTCACGAACATTTTAATAAATTGAAGTCACATTGCGAAGATAAATCTATCCAGTTCGATTCATTTTCAATGATCGCAAAGGGGTACCACATTCATCCCCTTGACATTAGTAGGTACCATCGGGAGTTACCAAAATGTGCTAGGCCATTGAAGTTTGAGGGAAAGTCATCTGGTGCAGCAAATCCAGAGGGCGTTTCGTGCAATTCCTCTTGGCTGACGCACAACCCTGGTTGATTTAGGACAAGGACACCATTGCTATGCAGGCTGTACTTGGGCTTGACACAAGGAAAAACATGTATACATATCATATATTATATATATTATAATATATATATATATATAATTGTACAAACTCTTATAGAGTTGCTCGGTCCCAAAAATCATAAAACCCACATCCAGACAACGCCCCAACCCATTCCATGCCTTTCTTCCAGCAAAGTTTTGCTCTCTGCCTGCAGGCGCTATTCAAAGGAGTTCTCCAGATGGGGTATGGATATACCAATGGGATATCCCAAGTTGTGGCCGTTTTAATGGGCACAAAATGGCACATCGCATTTGGAGGGTCCCTAGTTTTTGGACAAACACTTATTTTTATGGATTTCTATGGATTTGTATTCCACGTTTGTGTGGTGCCTAACAAGGGAAAGTAACCAAACACGGCAATGATGATATTGCCCCACAGCCAACCCAACACCCCTGCACCATGGTTGGACCTTGGGAATGTTGACCCTACAAGTACGACTAAGAAAACACCATCAAGTTTCTGCATCAGGAACCACGCATCAAGCTTTGGTTGATGGTATGCTAACACTTATACCAAGTGGTATGTAAAGAACACGGAGATGGAATAGGCCTAGCTATGCGGCTTCCTAACCTGGTGTCATCACCATTACTTATACCTAAATCATCTATGAATGGGCCAATATTTTCCCAAATTTAAAGTCTTGCTACAGTGCCTGCACCTGATAAAATATATCACAAATTACAATATAGTCCCTGATTGTTGCTACAATTCATATAATAGTATGTACATGTTATCTGGGTAAATTATAATATTTCACTAACCTGAATTAAGGCCATTTTGGGATGATTCCTCTTACTAACCATGATTCCAGTGAGGTCGCAGTGAGGTCGTTATAATTTACCCAGATTCAAAAAAAAAAGTATGTACATGTTATAGTTATTCATCCTTGCCATAATAATCATTACCGATTGTAACCCCTTGGAATTCTCCTAAAATATCCCCGTGGCACATCAGTGAAATCGCCATTTTCTGGGCTCACCGTGAGGATGGGATCTGTCTGTATGAAACCCTCTGGTAAACTAACATAGCTATGGAAAATAACCCTATTTATTGGGTAAATCAACTATAAACGACCATGTTCAATAGCTTTTTGTATGTTTACCAGAGGGTAGTTCACCAACCTGAAATTTACTGTTCTCAAACGGCCATTTGGAGATGATAACCTGAATCCAAACCATTATTGCAGCATCACGACGCGAGGTCATCGCATCGTTCATGCAGATTAATATCTCAGCAACATATAGCAATCTCCCACTATGGGTATCATTTTTTTTTAAAAAAATACGCAATATATTCATGGCTAGTAATATCCCTTATCATATCCATAACTATCCCGAGCAAATATATATATATATAAAGATGGGATTGTGGATTATGGAAGACCTTATTATCACATAACAAACCATCAACGTACCATCAGTTATGATATGGAGCTATCACCATCAATAATTCTGGGGATATGTGGTGATGGTATTTACGTGTATATACATATACCATATATATACATACCATATGTATATATATATATCATATATTCTGCACAATAACCAAATATAAATATGATTGATACATTATTTTCATAATAATGTGTATTGTGATTGTCATGATTATTATGATTATTCCTATCAGTGTCATTTGATTCATTGTTTTCAACTATTTGTCAACATATTGCTCATGATTCACTATTAAATCATCTGGTCATATTAATAGTGAATGAGTAGTATAATTGTAACTGTAACTATTGATTTATTGCTATTGTAACTAGTAGTTCCGTTGTAACTATTAATATCTATTACCCTCTGGTAATTTAACATAGACCCTGGCAGATAGGGCTTGGAACATTACTTTCCACTAGAAACTGATGATTTTCAGGATCTATTATATTGCTTATTACTATCATTGTCACTATATTATATACTCATGATATTCACTACTTATACATATATATATATGTATATACTATACTGGTTGGTGGTTTCAACCCTCCGGAAAAATATTAGTCAGTTGGGATTATTATTCCCAATCTATGGAAAATAAAAGCCATGTTCCAAACCAGCAACCAGTATATGTATATATACATTGTTACATTACTATATCAATTACCCTCTGGTTATTTAACATAGCCATGGTATAGATGGCCCATAGAAATAGATGGTTTACCATGGTTTACCTATTAAAAATGGTCATTTTCCATGGCTATGTCAGCCATAACCAGATGGTATACATATTTTTTTGTGACACCATGTTAAATAATCATTAGTGATATTGTTATATATGTTATATAACCATATACATTGTTACATTACTATATCAATTATGTCCATCCCTCAGTTTCCATCTGGCCATCTGGCCATGCGCCTTGAGTCTCTCCTGGAGCTCCAGCCGCGCCTTTCGTTCGCCCTCTGCGCGCCGCGTGGGCAAGGCCAGCAGCGCGGCGTTTTGGCCCAGCCCGGCCTTGACATCGCGCTGGGACGATCGAAGTTGTAAGTTGGGGTTTCCAAAAAAAACAGTTATTTCCCATCCCTTAGGCCACTTGCACTTAAATACTCCTGATCCTAGTGATGGGTCTCATAGTGACATGATATGGTGAATCTATAGTCTCCGATATATCAGTATGTACCATCTGGTTATGGCTGACATAGCCATGGAAAATCACCATTTTTAATAGGTAAACCATCTATAAATAGGCCATTTTCCATGGCTATGTTAAATAACCAGAGGGTAATATATATATATATATGCATACAGACATATAAACGATGATAGCTGATCAGACGTTTCTATCCCCAAAATCGACATAGTTCAACCATGAATTGGGAGCTGGAAGACTAGATTCCACTGAAAAATCAATGGAGTCTCAGTGTCTCCATGGTTCGTTGGGTGATAAAAGACTGGTGGCTTTCCATGGTGAGGTGTATCTATTATGCTTAATAGTGGTTAATAATGGTCAATCATGGCTGATAATGCTTATCAACTGGTTGGTGGTTTCAACCTAGCCCTCTGAAAAATGATGGAGTGAAAGTCAGTTGGGGTGATGACATTCCCAACTGAATGGAAAGTCATAAAAGCCATGTTCCAAAGCACCAACCAGTCAAGCATTTTCTTTGAGGTTGTCATGTGTCTGAACCCTTTTTCGTTATCGTTGAATGGAGAGTCTGCTCTTATTCAGAACGGAACCCAGGTCAAAACTGGTAAGTAGCCAGACCCTCAAAGTACCCATAACAACTTCGTATTCTACCCAGAATTTTCACTTTTACCCTTTTACCATCTTTTGCCATGTTTTTCGGTGTTTTCCTGAGTGTCTAGGTACTGGTCCATCGCTGTGAAATTCTGTTCAACGAACTTTCCATTCACCTAGGTGAGATACGGTCAGTCTCCTCCGTTTTTGGATGTTTCTCTCTTCTTGCTGCATCAAAATGGGTTTGTCTGAAAATAGGGTACCTGTAAATCTCATGAATATTGATTATCGATTATCAATTGATTGTATCATTATTATCTCCACTAAAGTTGACATGTGGGGGGGGGGAATACCACATGTTCAAACACACACCAACTCTCAATATTTATTCTGGATTATATCAAGGATGTTCCCTTTCTATCCCCATGTCTGATAACTATCTCCATGGTCCGACAAACCCACATCATCATATGACCCTCCCGTAAACTAACATAGATTCGCGGTAATAACACATCATTTCTTGATCATCTTCTTAGGCTTTAACCATGGCATAACACATCGCTTCTAACCACATCTTTCTGTATGGTGACCATGGCTAGGCCCTAGGCTACATGTCCTGGTGACCCGTTTGCTCCGAGGGCTCCAGCTCCGAGAAATTTGTTGCAAATGCCGGGCCGCTGGCTTTGATGGTATCATTGATCATCAACATTGATATAATACTATTATATTATATATATTATATATATATGAATATTATATATATATAATCATCATCTATTTGTACCAGTGAAAACTCAGTGTGGAGGCTGGAAAAGAGAAGATTACATACTGATCTAACCATAATTATCGCTATGACCCTATACTCATGTCTTACTCCTACTGATTTTTTACCGTGGCATGGAACATATATGTTATAACCAAAACCATCATGCTCAGCGTAGCATCATAACCATCACGCAAAGCACAGGAACGTTCTTAGCCCCGCCCCACCCCACCCTACCCCAACCCGCCGTAACATGACCGAAGTATACCTTGCACAACATCCAAGTACACAGCAACACAAAATGGCAACCCTTCGGCGGCAAGTCAGCCGATAGCGACAAACATCCCTACTCCAGGCAGCCACACCGACGTTGCGAAGGCAGGGACGTGGATCTGTCGCAAAAAGCCAGCGGAAAAAAACGTATCGTCAACAGATAGATCCAGCAATGTGGTTCATGATGGGTATAACTTATAACCATCCATTAATGACAATCAATTGTGGTATAGTTATTGCATAACATTCTAAAATGATCATCCATCTTTCTTGTAATTCCAATGCCATAAACCTCCGATTTGGGTTTACCACAATAGTTTGATTTTAGTAACGCCCATGTTATATAGTACCCTTCAGAAGAGGATTCAAGGGTTTCCAAACCACCGTTGAACCGTTGACAAATGGCTCAAATTTTGTCTGTCCCATGGAAATATAGCTATATACATCAATGGTTGCCCTAACCACATTCCCTGCATGATCCGATGTGAGACTGCAGACCTCTTCGTAGCCGCTCAGTTTGGCACGCATGAGTTTTTCCAGACAAGCGTGGGTCATCAACATCCAATGCCAAAGGTCGCTGAATTGAATACCTCTGGATATTTTTCACGTAGCGGGCTGGAACATCACCATTTCAAAAATGGAGCAGTTTTATCATTTTTAGCATTTTTATCATGGAATTATTTTTGGCCATGTCCAGTTTGCAAACTGTTGTCGCTACAAATCGACAGAGGGTAACCGGGCACCCTTTGAGGCCCCGGACACGAGCAGGTACAACCACCGGCACCCTGCAGGCCGTAGGATGCGCACTGGTCGCTCAGTGGTACGGTAGGATAAACCCAGCCATGTGCGAGTACTTTTTGTCTAATACAATAACCACTGATATACTTATCTTGAGAATATTCCATAATCAGTAGTCCATGATAACTTGAGAATTGAGGCTTATACTTCTGGTATATTCCTCCTAATTGCAAGCTCATTATCCCCGACTAAATGATCCTTAGCAGAATAGCTAGGCCCCTAACAAATTCATAAATCCGGGTATTCGTTTCATGACCCTGCTGGGAGGAAGGAGCAGTGAGAAATGAGTGTATTTACTATTCCCCAAATTGATTTACTATTCCCCCAAATTGATTGTGAGGTCCAAAAATATTGCCCGCTAAGTCAAGGCTGTCATCCCCATCAATAAGAGAGTGGGACAAGTCTTCACAGCTCTTGCTTCATCTAAGAGTGAGTACACTACATGCCTTTGAGGATGAATTTCCGTATCTTTTTCTGTGCTGTCTTTGCTTATAATAACACAACCAATGAACAATGGCTACAGTCACCTCAAGTCATTGAACAAGTCAACTGGCCAATCATTGATTTTCACAATTAAAACTGCCATTTGCGCGGGGTATACACCATTTTCAGACACAACCATATGGGTGTGTCTGAAAATAGTGTACCCCTAAACCCAATGGCTAATGATCATTATCCCTATTGTATAAATGGCTATGATTGGGAATATACCCTATTTTCAAGACACGCATTATTTTGACACAACAACACATCTGCGAGCAGATTCCCCTCAGATCCCTCGGCCCACTTTGCTGGAGGTGGCAAGGTCTTCTCTTCTTCCTTCAACCACCGTGGCTGGCCAAACGTGGCTGGCTGGGAAATCCTGGGAAATCCCGAAAAATCAATGGAGGTTGAAACATGGAAACATCCCAGAATCTGGGGGATTTCCCAGCCATGTTTGATGACACCGGAGGGTCGATTTCGATAAGCTGAAGAAAAAATCAATAAACATCATGAACACTGGAGAAATACTGATCCTTTAGCAACAAAACATATATAGGAGTTTTCACCAACAAAGAGTTGACTTTGGATAACTGTACAGAAAGATTTACGGAACTCTCAGTTGAATCCAATGAAGATGGTTTACCTTAGAATCGTCAGGCCATGGGTTTGTTCAAGTGAAAAAGAGGGGAAATTAACACATATGCATGTCATCAACAATACTTGGACTTAAATTGGAGTTAAACAAACCATCATGGAATTCAAACAATAATTTGGAGTTTAAGCATCAAGAGTACTGTACATAGCCATGATATTCCCATCAGCATTCGATTTTTTTCCTGGATTATGATAATCTATACATGTAATATCATGGATATACCCATCAGCATTTTGTTACCCTGGATTATGATGATTTGGCAGTGTGTCAAAACCTTGTACCCATGGTGAACATCAAAATAGCTGGTAAATGGATGTTCATCCCACTAAAAATGGTATTAATAGGTATTGATCCATACCCATTTTCCTGGATTATAACCTTAGCAATAAATGCCATCCGCACTACCCGTCCTTCAGCCGTGCTTGCAGTTCTGCGCGCACGCGCCGTTCCGCTTCAGCTCGGCTCTGCGCCGCCTGGGGAACATGGCGTCTTGGCGGCTGCCAGCCATTTTAAGGGGGGAATCAATACCGCTTGACCCTCTAAGTACCCTCTGGTAAACTAACATAGCTATTGAAAATTGCCATTTATAGTGGATTTACCCATTAAAAATGGTGATTTTCCATAGCTCTGTTAGTTTACCAGAGGGTACCCATCAAAATGAGGGTTTTACCCTATCAGTTTAGCACTTAAAAACCACCTTTGACATGGGCATAGACATGGGCTATTTGGAGGCAATCATTTGGGACTACAATGGGACTATGATGGGTTAAACTCATGGTTAACATTGGTTCACTGATAACATTGGATAATGGATGATAATGGGATATCTAAGACAATCCTCCAATTAATGAATTATGTTTCCGTTTACAGTAAATGCCCACTTAGTTTGGGGATTTCCCAGGCATGTTTGATGACACCGGAGGGTATTAGCCAACAACACCGGTGTTCGATTCTTTCGTTTCGGTTTAAATCCTGATGGTGTGTTGAAGAATGTCCATGTCTTGTCGGCCAACATCGTCTCAATGTCATTCACCAAAATTTGACCAGAATTGACTGCAAATGACAAAACACATCAAAAAACACATCATCGCCCAAAACAATTTAAACCCATTCAATGAAGAACAGCTTGGCAAAGTCTTCAGAAGCACGTCCACTGCAGCTGGATAGACTTCGTAAACAAACAGTTTGTTGCTCCTATCATCCATCCACATGGTGTCAGATGGTCAACTCAGTGGACTCGTGGACTCGTTTTAAAGATGTTTAAAGTAACACTTCGACAATCATCGTTGAGCTAGTGTTGAGATCAACTATGATAGCATTTTAAGTGATGTTCATGAAGTAAACCCTGCATCCCAGACAACCCGAAGTGATTTTCCTATTAGTTCGGTTTGTCATATTCATTAACTACTCCAGTAATCGATAACATGTCCGGAATATGAGATAACTATCCCATAAATCCAGTAATTAATCGATAACTATCCCATAACTGTACATAACTATCATATTCAATACGTATCCCATCATCACAACTGTCTGTATTCAATAACATGCCATCTCCCAGCAGCACCTGCTGATTCCCTTCTCGCGAGGCTGCCTTCTCGGAGAGAGGGCGCCATTATCAGCGATGATGGATGTTGATCCAATCTGGTAAACCCAAAATTGCGTAAACTTAGATTAGATATACTTAGATATGGTTAGATTTACATAGATTTACATAGATTTACATGGAGGGAACATTGCACATCTCTTCCATACTCTTACTTGGTTTAATATTTCAGTATATACCCTCTGGTTGTTTAACATAGCCATGGAGAAGGGCCCATAGAAATAGATGGTTTACCATGGTTTACCTATTAAAAATGGGGATTTTCCATGGCTATGTTAAATAACCAGATGGTAGATATACTTAGATATCCCATGACGGATCCATGGTCCTGGTATATTAATGCTAACATGACTGGGGTATATTGATGGTAAAATATGGGATCCATGTTACCATATATGGCATACATGGATCCTATGGGTATGGTTAGATTTACATAGATTTACCGCAGTTCACCACATTTCACAACATCTGATCACATCTTACCACCACTCCCCACCCCATTGCCTGTCAGTTCCTACTGAGTGCTCAGGTACCGAGATGTTCTGAGCTGTACCAAAGCATTGTCAAGAAAAAATGTGTACCATCAGGACCATCTACATCAAAAAACTACTCGGAATGCTAATAATCTGGATTGAGTCGGTGTGCGGGATAGAAAGAACCCAATGCTTGACGTTAAGATCATACTGTTTATAAATCACCATAAATAGGTGGTAAAAAACAATTCCCAAATGGGTGGTTCATTATTGTTTTACCCACATTGCATGTTTTGTTTCTCTTATCGGATGGGCCCATCCAGCTACCCTTGCCGGTGATCTATGATGAAATTAGCCCCATGACTCACATCACTTTGCAAGATACTCATTGAAGATCCAGAAAACTCAAGTAGTTACGAGTACCAAGTCCTTCAAAGACTGACCATAGCAAATCTTAGATGCCCCGCATCTGTTCAAACTGACTATGTAGTTTTAATGCCAACACATCCAGATCACAACGTGGCAAAGTTATCAAAGTGGTCCAAACAACTTGCCTACCAAGAGACCCTCATTAACCTCCTAAAAAAGGACACATATGTAAAACAAATCTAATATAATCTAATCATATGGACAAATATATGGAGTAGAATAATACCAATGTTTAAGGGTACTTGGAGAGTCAGTCGCTCAACACTGTGGCTTTTCCAGAGCCAAACCCCAATGGGCCTCATCTCCATCCTCTGAAGATGACCTGCCACGAAAGTCCCATGACAATAGGGGGGACTTCTGCTGGTATACATATATACACATACCAAACATGTCAAATCATGTTCAGTTGATGGGATAGATCATAACCATGTATCGATCTGTTCAATGCTTGACCAAGGTGCCACGCTGTCACTTTTGCAATCATTCTGGGAAACAAACCAAGACATTAGATGAACAAAGTATATACCCACAAATGACCTAGAAGACACACTCCTCAAAATTATGCTGTCTCTGTCGCATGTTGGCGCCTTGAGAATTCAGGATGCTCCTGTTTCACTGCCTCTGGCGGATGGGTGTCCTCCCTATCTTCGGGATGGTCACTCACAGTTTCACAAAAGAGATTGGAGGGAACATTGCACATCTCTTCCATACTCTTGCTTGGTTTAATATTTCAGTATATACCCTCTGGTTATTTAACATAGCCATGGAAAATGGCCCATTTATAGATGATTTACCTATTTGAAATGGTGATTTTCCATGGCTATGTTAAATAACCAGATGGTAATACTTACTTGGTTTATATTACTGTTGATAGCTTGGCTACAATGTTATAATTCCAACTTGGAGGCAAGCAGAACAAGTGTGCATTGATGACACTTGCCCTCGAGGAATGACATAGGGAAACGACTGGGCAACGCAACTGTTGCTGTTTCGAATGGGAAGTGACCATCAACTATAGATGGACAACTGAGTCATATATATATATATAGTCAAGCATAATACAATGGTCCAGTTGTCCATCTATAGTTGATGCAAATATAAAATAATAATATAAAATATACTAAACAATAGTATCCTATCTATACCGTATATACTATAATAAAGTTTCATATCATAATATATATATATTATAGATCACTCATACATATCTGCCCTTACACTATGAATGTTCGCTTCCCATCCTGCAACACACAGAAGAGGCTTTGCCGATAATAAACAAAACAAGCGACCGGGGCGACTCACGGCTTCTGAAATCAAAGAAACAGAACATATGCATACCTAGCATCATCAGAGAAATCATGATCTATAGTATGATGATATATGATGATATATGATGATATATGATGATATATGATGATATATGATGATGATAAGTACATATACAATCACATATATATATATATAATATAATATCATAGTACATGACATATTTGAATATCATGATGTAATGGGCATTACATATAATCTGGGTAAATTATAATATTTCACTAACCTGGACCATTAAGGCCATTTGGGGATGATTTCCCTTACTAACCATGATTCCAGTGAGGTCGCAGTGAGGTCGTTATAATTTACCCAGATATAATATATAATATCAATACATATATATATCAGTATAATATACTGTAGTAATGTTCATCATGATTTCCTCCTAACATGATATCATAATGATCATCCCTCAACGTCAATGGCTTTTTTTGGCTTCTCCACAGCTCCACCAAAAAAAAATCCCAAGCCTATTGACTCTATTGGTTTGTCCAACAACCATTCACGCCCCCCAAAAACTCTGTAGTACTATTGCAAGTACTATTTATAGTAACTATGGGAAAAAAACATAGTACTTAATAGTAACTTGCAAGTTATAGAAGCAACTCATGGGAAAAAAAAACATGGGGATTTTACAGGAGCAGTCCTTCAACTGTACCATCTTTGAGGCACCCCGGTAAATACTCCCAGGCCCCGGCCGCAAGCACAGCTGTTCCTTGCGGCTCATCATTCGCAGCCTGGCTGTAAATCCCCGGAAGCCCAGAGATGAATCAAGAGCCACAGCCAACTTGCACATTTGAGGGCAGGTGAAAATTGAAGACCGAAAATTGGTCGCCTTTTTGTCTGTCTAAACCATCTTCTGTAAATTTGATGGTACACACAAGTGTTGGACACATTCCATCATGAATTTGAACTATTTTGGGGTGCAAAATTCTTGCTTCAAGACGCTATTCACACCGAAAAGTGTCTCAAAAGTTTGCAAAATGAGCGGATGAATGGCCCTCATTCTGGTAGGTACACTAATGCTATTCCAAATGGCATCAACTAACACATTTCCCTTGAAATAAACCCCTATCTTGACTTTTTGGGCCAATACCATGTTCATTTTTTCGGTGGCTTGTGATGAAGCGTTCCCCAAAGGCGGCAACCCACCTCAAACTTTTCGAAAGCCTTGGAACCAGTCCAAGGTTGCATCGTCAAACAATCTATCTGGTTATCTTGAAGCTGGCTAGTTGGTATCATTGGGAATGGTGATAAGTTGGACATAGTTTTTGGATGTGTGTATCTTTCAGCATGGAATCAGACAACCCTTCACAGGTCGGTTTCACTGGCAACATTCCTGATGTTTGTTGGTGAACCCCCCAATGTTTTGCTGCTTGAAATCCAATGTCCAGTAATTTTGATTGGACAATATCATGTTATACCATCATTTCCATGAGTAAATCTTAAGTTTGGGATAGTGCACACCAACAAAATGACTTCAGCCCCTCTGAACAAAAATAGTAGGACCCTCATTTTGAGATATTCTAAGTATATAAAACAGAAACATGTGTGAGAGATTCTATTGATATATATATATATATATACATTCTATAAGTATTTTTGAGATATTCTAAGTATATATATATAATTGTGTATGTATGTATATATATATATACATAATAGCATGACACAAACATGTGAAAACACAGAGCCGAACATCCCCTCGGAAGCACTGGGAACCCGGCGCGCGACTTCTTTCGCCTGCAGAAAATGGTACCCCCCAGCTACAAGTAGTTGGCGAATAAACACAATTAATTGTAGAATATTGTAGATATTTGTAGATATATCTACCATAAACCATAGTTAATCTATTTCCAAGAAAAACCAACTTGGCAATGGTTTGGGGGCCCACCTTACTATCAAAAATCGCTGAAAACCAGCTCCTCCAGGATTTTTTGCCAGATAGGGTCACACTCAGCACAGGAAAGAAGTTGTTGTAATATGGGGGGTTCCTTTTCGTCATTGGGGTATAGCTGGATGCTTTCATGGAAAATCCAATCTATAAAATGGATGAGAACTAGGGGTACGCCCATTTTAGGAAACCTTCATATAAATCTCCAATGGCTGGTGGTTATATAATTTGAATCCCAATCTGTAAAAACATGTTTCGCAGAAATTCAACACCCCAGCAATAGCCTGGTACCTTTTAGTTCACAGCAGAAGTTTACATGTCTTGCTGTAGCTGAATATTCATCCAATCGTGGTATTTCAATGATTATAACTTATAACATCTTATAACCATGTCTATCCTATTCTAATCCCATTCAACATCATTTTCACGCAACGAACCAATCAGATTTTTCCCGGTGAAATGGGTGAAATTCAGGGAGTCTCCATAGATTTTCATCCCCAATCCATCCCAGACAAGTCTCCAGCCTCTTCGCGGATTTCTCGCCTGGAACCTGGCCCTTCTCGCCGTCGTTTTTGGACCTTTAAAAAACATGGAGGATCTTTGAAGTACAGAAACTGGTTAGTATATATATATATATGAATATACATATTAATATATATGATGGTTGATCTTAATATATCCTATTATATACTTATATAACTTAAATAATATATGATGGTTATAAACTTAGATCAATTCCCATATATATATAAACATATTAATATTATACTTATATAACTCACTTCAATCGGATTCACCATCCTTTTGGGGATCATATGGATGCTGGTTGTGTTTTAAAGTTTTTGGTTGCCTGTTTTGTTTGGCTCCATCGATGTTTGTTTCTGACTGTTCAATTCTTGCTATGAGAAACACATATTCCGGATCACCCAGGGCCATCGGAATATTCCGGAGACACAAATAACTGGTAGTAGACTCAGTGTTACTGCTTTGACTGGCATTGTTACCCGCCATTGAGTGGTGATGTCAGCCATGTTTTGAAGCCACCAGGTGACACCCCCGAGCTCAGCGGAAAGGACCACCCAGGAGACTCAGGGAGTGGACCGTGATCCAAGATGGAACTCATTGATGTTTGTCCACGATAGGAAGATATATGGGGGGGGTTCTGAAAATATGGGATCCCCAAAGCCCCAAGTCACCATGGGATCCACCATGTTCATCTTTTTTTTGCAATTTCTAGCTGCAACATGCTGCAACGCTCCATGGCCAAGGCACTTATCTGTCTCCATGGCGAAGCATCGCTGAAAAGAACACCGTTCTGTGAAAAATCGGCCTATGCACGCAGCAAGATGGTAGTATCATCCACTTTCTGCCGTCCGACTGCATATTTTGGCCAACACAAATGAACATCTTGCCAGGGCTAAGCGGCTAAGATCTTGGGCTCGCAAGGTCAAATTCGTTCACATGTCCTCACGGGACTGCTGGTTTTCTTCCTGCAAAACTGGGTGGAACAAAAAATCATCGCAAGGAACATGTCATTTCTATGTGGTTCAGGTCATGTTCTTTCCTGATTTCCATGCCAGATCGATACCATCTAGCATATCTAGGCGGACAGGCTCCGAAATGTTGGAAGGGAGGCATCCAAACCATCCTTGCTTGTTTCAGGTCAACTGTAAAAATGGTTGTGCTATGTTGTGCTCCACAGGTTTGGCATTGATATGCATTGATGATCATTGATTACTCTCTCTTCTCCGTTGGATCTTCTTGTCCTTCTGCCCTTGAGCAACGCTGCGATGGCCATTTCCAGCTGATGAATGTCTCCGAGCCAGTGACGAGAATCATCCTCATGGCTTGACAAAAAGACATAAGTGAAGAGCATTGAAAAGCTATGCTTGGTGGCCAAAGCCTCATATTTTTACTATTTTTTACTGCTACGATTCTACCTCAACTAGTAAAACTACTGGCAACTGATTGACAACCTCCAGCATATCGAGCCAGGACCGTGTAACAAAATTCAACGCGACTCTGTGTTGGTTAAAAAAAACAGTGAACATATCTGATGACTTTCTATGATATGTGTAGTTTGTGTTTCAGTTTAATTGTTGTCCTAAAATTTGTCGATCCCATGAAGAGTCCAAAAAGATGACTGATTGTCGGCTCTCCGTTGGTCCCCCATTTCTGGCTGAAAAAACGGATGACCTTTGTTTTCATGATCCGGCTCCACCCCACATCTGCATCTCCCAAATGTTGGAGTAAAGCGACTTGCTACGACTTCACCCTGGTTGAACTTCCTGTGCTTCACCCGGCATTTCGACTTTTTTGGTCCTTCAATTCCGTCATGCAGCCAGCTGAGTCTCAGGGAAGTCTCCAGCCCGGGGGGATACGTCGAGGTTCTCGGAGAAGATTTTTCGAACCGACCATGGAAGGTTTCAACCACGGCATTCAAAGGAACCCAAGGCGTGCCATCTGGGAAGGATTGGGGGGTTGAAAGCTAATGCAGCATGCAGAACTAAGATAGAAACTAAGTGACTACTGTGTTTCACACTATATATATATATATATATGTTTTTTGTGGAGGGGAATACCCCTATATTTTTTTTGTATCTAGGATGGCTTTAGATTTATTCCTGGATTGACCACATGAACCGGATCACTGGGAGAATTCAGTTTCGCGCCATGTGAATGGTCCAAGTCATTCTCACGTTGCCATTCCAAGGTCGGGGTTCTTGACTTTCCTGCAAGCAATGGACATAAAAATGCAAAAGGACATATTAAACAAGACATACTGACATACCCTCCAGTAAATAAACATAGACCCTGGCAGATAGGGGTTGGAAGATTAGTTTCCACTCAAAACTGGTGATTTTCAGGGTCGCCCTGTTAATTTACCATAGGGTATCTCTTATATTCTCTGGGTGCCTTCAGAATTTGGGGGATGGAAATGGATAGAATCCTGGGCAAATTTATGCCAATCCCTCATGCTGAAGGGTGCAGTAGCTGGTACAGTAATAGGACCCAAAAAGGACAGTTTTTTTCGGAGATTCCATCTAGAAGCCTATTACAATCCGAGATTCCATTAGAATTAATAGGACAGTATTATGATAATGGAAGTCTATCTCCAGTAGACCATCATTACTCCCTCGTCTTGATTCCAGAATCAGGTCTCTCCAAAGGAGTTAGGAGGTCTCCCCAATGGGGTCATGCACAAAGCTCTTGGGGCCACTCAACTTCAACAGCTTTGGAGTTGCAATCCACATCAACACGGCTCAACAATGGGCATAAACTCAGTAGCCCAAAGAAAAAAAACATGATTTACGCAGTCCATGAGTCCATGAGTGTCCAGGACCTGCAGGACCTGACAAACCCTCCCACACCTGCGCTGTCATGTGTTTGTTCCATCTTTTCCTGGGACACGGCAGCCCACCTGGATGGGACCCATTAGCCACCAAGAATTGGTTGTTTCTGCTTGATACCGACCACTGCCAATGTTGCTTCATACCCCAAATCCGATGGCTTATCATCATCTTCCTTAAATGTACAAAAAACTCTTGTGCGTATGGCACATCTTGGATTTCCTTGAGGAACCTCTGAAAAAAAATGAACAAACATTCCCCATAGATTCCCCAAGTCCCAGGTCGTAGTGTGGAGTTCCCATTAGGAAAATAAAGCCAAATCATCAACTCAGCAACCCCAGATATCCCCAGATGACAGCGACCCTTTCAAGCAGAGATGCAGCTGCTCAGTCAAGACTTCCGTAGGATCTCCTCAATGGCACCGGTGGGAAACAAGACGTCCAGGGTTATCAAAGCCATATACTCCATGCTAGACAGATTTACCTTCAAAATATCACCAACGTAGATAAAGAACCATATATGGAGCAAATGGGAAAAGGATTCTGGTACTTTCAATTACCCTCTGGTAAACAAACATAGCTATTGAAAATGGCCATTTATAGTGGATTTTCCCATACAAAAATGGTGATTTCCATAGTTATGTTAGTTTACCAGAGGGTAGTTCCGACATGTGGATGGCATTTCCATACCCGAAACATCGCAGACTTCACCGAGAATCTGGACATAAAATTTCAAGGACCGGCTACAAATTGGGGTACCAATGGCTCCACAAAAACGTGAATTTTGGTGTAACCCATGCATACTTTGGTATATCAAAGTTAAAAGTATATTAAGTATATCAACCCAGCAAAGTTCAACCATATATATATATAATGTTAAAAACATATTATATATATATATATGTAATGCATATATTTATAAATTATATATAAACAATGTATATATATATATAATATGCCATTTTAACTTTAAACGCCCCCCATATGGACCCAAATCATCAGCCCATTCCTCCGCTTTTTTCCGAGACGCTTAGGGCATCCAAGCCATCCAAATCATCTCCCCATGCGGCGGTGGCCAGGCTGCTCTCAGTCCCGGGCCTCGGGGAGTGGCGAAAGTCGGGGAGTCATCTATGGTAGTCAAACCTTAGTTAAACCTTTTCTTGCATAATTCACATCCCACGTTCTATTCTGGCCCTTAACATCCGCTTCTTGGGAGTATTTTGGACGTGCAACTTGGATTAGTTTGGATGTTCCGAACCACAAGGAGTAACTATCAAGAAGAGTGCTCACAAGTATCACATACATACACAGCAATGTTTATTTTTGCTGGCGACTGTTGCTAATTCAGTTTCACCGTCGTCTGTTATTGATGACTGTGGGGAACACGTGACAATCCATCTACTGGAATCTACTAGCCAATTTCTCCTGAGCTCCGGGATATAATCCCAGCACCATCCACCTATTTGTGTTTGTATGTTCTTGTATACTACTAATATCTACTAATATAATTGATTATTGGTTTTAAACTGGTGTTTACCACCGGTACATTTGGTCGCATCGTTCCTCCTTTGAAACCTCCAACATGGAGCCCCAAATAAATGCCATGGTTCAATGGAGCCATTCATCTTCCCAAAAATCTAAGTATTCATCTTCGGGGTAGACCATTTTCTGGGCTGTTGAACGTTTTTCGAAGCTGGTCAACTCTACCCAACACGGTAACACCTTTGCAAGTTTAGTTGGAAAATGGCAAGCAATGGCCATCGAATCAATTGCCCATCGATCTCAAATTTCAACCCCAAAGGCGTAGTATGGCGTTGAAATTTAGCTTTTCCCGGCTCATTCAAAAGTCCCGAGCGTATGGATTTGGGGGTCCAAACATGTAGAGACTTGCTGCTTTCTACAGCTGGAAACATTGGTGTATAGTAACACCCAAAAAGATATTTCGAACAGTGAATTTCTAACTTCAGGTAATTTCAGTAGGATTTTACTAGGATTTTCCCAACTAGGCATTATCACGAATCATCCCAAGTAGACATAATGTAGGATATATTTTGATGGCCATCATATGTTTTTTGGAATAAACAAATGGTGTCTTCAATTCAGCTTGGTGGGGATCTCGGGGTTCCCCACCCCAGATGCATCATGGATGGAGGATCCTGAGGCGGGCAGTTTTTATGCCGTCCAGCTATGGCAAACCCAACCTGGTTGGTAGTAAAACAATGGTTAATAATGGTTAATAATGATCATAATAATGGTGATTCATGATGATTAATGATATTCTGGATGGTGGTGGTTTCAACCTACCCCTCTGAAAAATGATGGACTTCGTCAGTTGGGATGATGACATTCCCAATAGAAAAATAAAAACTGTTCCAACGCACCAAACAGCAACTATGGGTATAATGAATAATAAGGTGATGTATATTCAGGTATGGATCCACAGCATTTGAAATTTGTCACTGGGGACCTTCATTTTGAACTCTGGTGAGAACTCTAATCCTTTTTTGAAGCCTCCCTATCCATAGAATGCCAGTGATTCTGGGTAAACTACTGCCATGGTTCCACCAAAAAGACCCCATAAAAGAAACACCAAGTAGTGTACCTTTTTTATGGCTGATGTAAGTGTGTCTCCAACATAGGACATAGGAGGATGTTAAAAACACACAAGTGTAATGTTCAAATATGATTTACAGTAGTGGACTTTTAGAGGAAATAACCGCTAAAATGGGGGAACATTTGGGTTGACTGGAACATTGCTGAATGATACTTGATACAATTTTCATGGAGAATGTGATTTTCACAATCCATTGGATTTTCGGGCTACCCCGGTTACCCCTTTTTAAGGGAATATCATGGTGAAAAACTGGCTCGTCCATCATTTCCTCATCATTTTCCAATTTTTCCACGGCAATCCCTGTGTTTTTTTGTCCCTTTAACACCCTTTCCACAGCGGGACACCTGTCCCAATGCTGGTCGCTCCTTCCATTCCGGGCGCCGACTATGCTCATACCGCTGGCGCTGCTCGTAGCGCGGCTCGCGCATTTGCGCCTGGCCAGGGCAAGGGGACAACTGAGGGTTGCTTGGACTGGTGATTCATGAACTTCATGGAGAATTAAATGTAACGTGGGTAATGAATTAAACACAGTGAGTTATTAATGAACATAATTATATGATGAACTACTGTGTACAATGATTAATGGATAATTACATGAACTTAATGTGTTAATTGTCTGGTTCATCATGTAGTTCATTAAGTCAGTTCGACCTGGTTTGACTCAGTCGAAAATTTAATGATGTGACCTAGTCACTTTCTATGATGAAATATGCAATCAACACAGGAATTGATGCTGTTTGATTGTGTTTGATGCTACAAGTATTTGACAAAACGGTTCATGAAAAGTTCATGATCTATGCATTCACTATTCCAGCCAACAACAAAACATGGATTCGACTTCCGGGAGAAGCCGCAAGAGAAACATCGTCTCTGAAATGATTTAGGCCGGTAGTTTTGACATCTATGCCATCAATAGCAATGGGATAACTGCTTGGTGGTTTCAACCCCTCTGAACAATATTAGTCAGTTGGAATGATTATTCCCAATATATGGGAAAATAAGAAATGTTCTAAACCAACAACCAGATAACATTTAACCTGAAACACGAGAAACTCATCGACAAAAAGGGGACGTCAAGTCCTCATATGTCACACGAGTCATACTTTGCTTCCTAAAAATCTGTAGTGTAGACCCCATTGGTTTGAACATCAACTGCTTGGTGGTTGGGCACAGCCATTTGGAACTTTTGTGACTTGTGTAATCATACCAGGGAGACCAAAAAACATATGAATGCAACCAGCAACTAGAGCTCTAGGTGACCCATTAATGTTAGGTGATCCCCCCAAACAAATGAAAACCACCAGCCAGCTATCGATCAAGCTTGAGTAAACTCACTTCAGCAAGCCTGGATCTTCGTAGCTTCAAAGCTTACCCGCCGTTCTCCTGGCCGTCAAAGAGCTTGAGCTTCTGTGGCACCCCAATATCCCCTGGTTTTGAACACCATTTGGCAGTGTGTCAAAACCTTGTACCCCTTCCGTTCACATCAAAATAGCTGGTAAATGGATGTTCATCCCACTAAAAATGGTATTAGTAGGTATTGATCCATAGCCATTTTCCCCAAAACACTGCTCAACCGTGGCCGTGGCGCACCTGTAGACCCGCCCTGCGGCAGTGCGGTGGTGTCCGTCTGCTGGAAGGGGTCGCCATCACTGGGTGGGCTGGGTTCCACCTGCCAGACGGACTAGTGGCTGCAGGAAAAAAATCCACCAAGATGCCTTGAAATCCTCCAGCAACATATCTATCTATCTATCTATCCATCCATCCATCCATCCATCCATCCATCCATCTATATATTTACCTATCTATTTATCTATCTATCTATCTATCTATTTATTTATATATATATAGTATTATTATTATTATATATATAAATAGTATTATTATATATACACACCATTATCTCGGAATTTTAGCACGCAACAGGTTCTTGGAGAGCACTGTTCAAGAGAAAATTGATTGAATTTGCATATAGAGAAACCATAGCACCTAGAAACTGGTTGGGTTGTTGTTGCATGTGTAACAACATATGATGTATACATGTGTTTTGTTGCAACGCCTACAATATATATATATATATATAATACATCCACATGATATTTACTATAATAACAAGATATCATTATATATATATATATCGAATCAGTACATTGTACATGTAACATCCTATAACATCATTCAAATACCTTCATATGAAAACTAAACAAGGAAAACAAAATGAGATATTTGTGCGCATGTTCGTTGTTGAAATTTCCATGGCATGCGTACATGTTTGCAGCATTTTGGGCTGCCAATCCCTGAAAGAGTCCCGAAAGAGGACGAAAGCTTGGACAAGCAGTTTAGGGCAGTTCCAGGAAAAAACTGCGTTGTGCTTTGACCTGCGGTTTGAGTGACCTCGTTCAAAGTTGAGCAACACATTGAAATCTCCATGGAAAACATCCTGCCCCACCTGCAGCTTCACATCCGCTGCTTGCGCCCCTGAACTGAGCCACGTAGAAGAAGGGCCCGTGGGTCCAGAGTGATGTGGGCTGAGCACGGCTGGGGAAGGCTCCTGGTGGGCTGTTGACATTGGGAGATGGGGCGATTTCTGGCCTAGTCATGGGATATAATGAGGATATGGGCCACGGTCAATATTTAGTATATATAGCTCCAAGTCATCAATTTTTGAAGAGTGTATGATCGTTTTTCAGGTTTTGGGAATATAGCACATGTTATCGTTTTTGGAAGAGTGTATTATCGTTTTCCAAGCCCCAGCTCATTTTTTTTTTTTTAAATGTGTCGAATACTACTTTCCATTACGGTAAATTTTGGCTGTAGCTCATATGAAAACAACATTCACCAACTGTATTTGGAATATATCGGGGCACAAGAAGTCACCAACTGGATCCCATCATCTGGAGAATCTCCTCTTCGGATGGTCATTTTAGAGATTTTAAGCCCAAAACCATTGGTTTTAGGATGTGTTTTTGGAAACCACAATCATCCTGGAAGGATGGGATTGGGTCTAGGCAGGACAATTATGTATGAATAAAATATAGCTACTAATGTCATGTATACAATAGCACTAGTTCTGGAAAATTGGTTCAGCAAAACTATATATTCAATGTGAATTGCGCTATTGGGGAAACACGAGGGTTTTACATGTTTGAAATGGGCAAATAATGACTGTGCCCGCAACTGTCTCACATGTTCATGGGATCATGAGCAAGAAAAACGACCAGTTTGACCGGCACATTTGTAGATTATGGATTGACTGACGGAAAAAATCCTTGTAACAGACATGCAAGACAAACATAATAATATCGAATCATATATATATAATTATATATATATGGAATTAATAGGTAATACCCTCTGGTAATTTACCATTGCTATTGAACATTGCACATTTATAGTTGATTTACCTATTAAAAATGGTGATTTTCAATAGCTACGTTAGTTTATCAGAGGGTAATCTGGAAAAATGAACACATAGCTGCATTGATTGGCTGGACAATCATTTTGATCCTTGTTACCCACAGGCGCGGAGGTTCCAAAATGGTCGAGCCAAATCACATTGTGCATTCACAAACAAGACGCTGGGTCAATTTCAGGGATTGATGTACGGGTCATTTGCACCAATGGACTGAAATTTCAGATGATAAATGATAACCGACAAAAAGAAACTCATCTAAATCTTGAGGATCTGAAAATAGAATGTATGATACCAATGCATATCCTCAGCCATATAGATACTAACATAATCTGTATTCGTAGCCATATCAATTGATAACCATATCTGAATAGTTCATTTATGAAGTACCAACAGCTACGTGAGTTTGTCCAAAACAGCGACAAAAAACCCAGATTGGCGATCCTTATGGGAACAATGACGAACAACAGGATATAGGTGGATATCCCCCATTCTAATTTCAGACAGACCCATATCGCATTGAAAGTTTTATATCCCAGTATATCCCCTTTGTGGCTGTTTAAAAAAAACAAATTCAGACAAAGCTGGTCTGGTTGTGTCCATTGTGAAGTATACCATCGTAGATCGCTTTTGGTTCCTGAAGGGTATGTTCCCAAGATATATCCTTGGTTTGTGGTTTAAACCACGAGGAAGATATTGAAATAGTCATTGGGGGTCATCATTGAGTTTCTGTGCTTGCAAATAAAACCATATTGAAGCCACCACCCAAATCCCCATTGTCTCCATACATGTGCCCAGTCCTTCATTACGCCCATAAAAGTCGGTAGAAGTACCAGCAAATTATGGTGTAAAGTTCCAAATTGTATAGGTATTTAAAGGATCTAGTTACATATATGTATACATATATAACTATTGTATGTATGTATGTATGTATGTATGTATGTATGTATGTATGTATGTATGTATTTATTTATTTATTTATTTATTGTATTATAATATATCATATTACATTCGATTTTATTATATTGTATTGTATTATATTATATCATATCATATTATATTATATTTTATTTTATTATATTATATATTATTTAATACACAGCGTTCACCAAGTATGTTCCAGGTCCCAATTATTTCCTTGTGACATTCCCGTTATATCCCAATATACAACATCTGTTGTTGGTGAAAATTATGTTGTCCTATCATTGAGCGGATAAACATCATTGAGTCACTTGTTATTGATGTTTGCAAAAAAAACAGTTCACAAGTTGATTTGAGTGGTTCTTCTCCACACGACATTCCCACTAAGGTCCCACTATTACCATTATACCCTTCCGTAATCAAACGTGGCTTGCTGTAAAATCCCTCATTGATAGATGAACTCCTTAGCTATATACTATAAGCATCTATAAACCTCCATTTAGTTCGGGGATTTTACAGCAAGCCGCGTTTGATGACACCAAAGGAACTATCCCATTATATTTCCCATTATATGTTTGCTAATATTTCCCATGATATGATATTCTCATGTTATTTCCCATTTTACGATGATATATCCCATTATCATATATCCCACTTTGGGCTTGGGAATGAACTATATCATCAAATGCCCATAGGATCCATGTATGCTATATATGGTAACATTTACCATCAATATACCCCCAATGTTAGCAGATATACCATACATGGATCCTATGGGATGGGAAGATCTGGGAAGATCATGGGAAATATGTCCCATGATTTTTCACATTTCTCAACCCCACGGTGAACACCCACGGCTCCAGTTCCGCATCTTCGGCTGCGTCCTGTGCTCAGTGGGACTCAAGACGTGGTGATTTTAGGATTCAAAGAGGAGTAGATAATCCGCCAGAATGGTGATTTAATGGGATTTATGGGATAAAACCAACACAAATGGTGATTTAACAGAATTAAACCCAACAAACATGAAGAATAAACCAACAAACGTGGTGATTTCATGGGATTTGTAGCTGGTTTATGATAGCTATAGTTGGTTTCAACCTATTTCAAACTGGGTTGCTACGGTTTATGCTAGGTATATCTGAGCACCACCTTACAGAAACCGCAACCTGGAAAGGAGAAAAAAACACTAGGTCCACCGGGAAATCGACTTGAACATGAATGTATACTCTATACATATACAAACATATAAATATGTATCATATATATATATATATCGTTAGTTTTTAAATCTACATGTATCATATAGATATGTATCATATATATATAGCATATATATATACATATGGTTGGTGGTTTCAACCCCTCTGAAAAAATATTAGTTAGTTGGGATGATTCTTCCCATATATTATGGACAAATAAAAAATGTTACAAACCACCAACCAGTATATATGAATATTGCATAAACTTGATCAACATATTTATAGATATTGTTAGTCATTCTTATTTCTGTTATAATTAAATGTTGCTTCCGCATAGATGGCATATATATATATCGCCACATATCCCTTTGAGATATTTTACACAACGTCACTTCAACATATTTCACTTTGGTATATGCAGTAGTTCACATCGAACAAAAAGCTGTTGAAAACAAAAATAATAAAATGTATAGCAGAAATGAATTTTCATTCTCCCGATCATGATGAAAGAAAACATCCCCATTCTCGTTGGTTGCAACACCCACGAGTAATTACATACATATACTTACAATATATATGTGTGCCATTGGTATTGACCCGTCCCTATTTTCGCTGAAGAAACTACTGTACCCATTTGATTAATTTCCAATTTTGGTTGGGTACATCCTCATAATTCTTGATGCGATCCTGACACTGGATACGTTTTTTTTCCCAAACCGGCTGGGCACAAGCCAGGTAGCATTCTATAGTAAAACCTGGCCTACCAACTTGCCCACTATAGAATCGTATGCCCAGGTTCTGTATTCTATAGGGTTTATTCCAAGGAGGACTATTTTTTCTATTTTGGCAGGTTCGATTAGTCAACAAATGCATTTTCACATTCTCTGCGCTTCTCAGTGATTTTTGGTTGCCATCCGCATTAGACTATAACACCCCTTACTTTTTTTGTAATCACTTACTTTAGTTCACTGAATCTTGAGTTCACAATCCCAGACTAGTTGGTGACGCCATGTTCAACCTTCACATGTACATGTTCCATACTTCGGATACTTCGCCTGATGAAATCCTCCAAAAAACAGCAGCAGCTCGCCTCCTGACTGGCCACATAGATCCGTTTCACCGCAGTCTCTCTAGGCGCCAGCAGGTTGCTGGCATGGCTCCAGAAATTCTGCAGGGCGCGCATGGCGGAGAATCGCCTAGCGCATCTTAGCTTCTTAGATCTACTACCGTTACTAACATTTACTAACCCATGATAGCCCATGATGAGTAAGAAAAAATCGGTGCTGTGATATTGTTTGTGATCTATAGATCTATTATCCCTGCAAGCTACTAACTTATTTTTTGTTGCTTCCTCACTTATGGCAAGATCATTGAGCCACTAAACTGTTCAAGAAAGGTTGAATCTAAAACGAGTAGTGGCAACCAGAAACGGATATAAAAGGTCCATCTATCAAATATTGACGGAATTTTGAGGATGTTCAATGACGTTCATAGCAAACTTCGGATGTCCATCTGCTTCCAGACCAGTACATACCAGTACTGCATGATATGATCGGCTTCTTGTCCATGGTTCGTCCCCGCTTCAGTACCATCCTATGGTATCTGACACCTGCCATCGAGCAAAGATCAAAAAACGACGATCGGCCGGATGATGCCACCGGTCGGATGAAGAATGATGTCGAGCAACCCTCCTTAAGTAGCCATTCAAATTGTCAAATTGGTATTTCGAAACCCATATTTTTAGTATATTTACATACATTTAATTACATACATTTACACATATTGATGGTCTGTTATGAGGGTCGAAACAAACATGTCAAAACAATGATTCCAAAACCAATTTTAGTTCGATGCTGATGACGATTATATGGCTTGGGAAGAAATTCCTCCGAACTAGACTCCGAATTCTTGGGTATCTGAGATTTCAGTGGGGAGCTGCTGAAAAGTCCCTTCTGTTTTCTGTTTCCAATACCAAGTCCTTTGGACAAGTGACCGGGGGGATGTGAGTTGGTCAAAAGCTTCGATTGTTTCCACTATGTTCCACTGGGTACCCCCCAAATTGCAAAATGACTCATGTCTATTGAAAGTTCCGGGCAACAAGCAGGTTTTAGTGCTTCACTTTCACAAAGAACAAGATCTTCTCACTGTGAACTAGCATAACTATCATCTTTTCTAGGGTTAGAATGGTTGAAATATGTTGAAGTCACCAAAAAAAGGACACGTCTTACTTCTTAGCACAGGACTCTTCAAGGTCATCAAGGACATCTGCAACAGGGACTACCCTCCAATATCAAACTTGGCGGGAAAATGACATGTCCCGTTTTTAATGGGGATTTCAATAGCACTGGAACATATAGGAAATCATCTAGAAATGAGCAACCTTCCATTGCCATGTTCGACTACCAAGTTCATACCATGATTCTTATTGGTATAGGCGGTAATAAGCCAGTACATCAAATGGGATACCCCGCTTGGGGGGCTTCTGAACTTGTGTTCTTTAAATTCGGCCCAAGCCTATTGCCATCAGATGTAGCCCAGAATCATCTTTGCCCCGCGACAGTGTCGTCACGTCACTTTTTCATCCCATTTTGAGCACCGTCAGGGGCGACAGCACGCGGCTCCGATGCGACTGTGGTATGCTGTGCCTTGTAAAGAAATTCCACAGTACTGGGGATTTGGTGACCTCCCCAAGGCCAAATGTTGTCAAAAAGATACGATTTATACCATCCGGTAAACTACCATAGCTATTGAAAATGGCCATTTATAGTGGATTTATCCATTAAAAATTGGTGGATCTTTCCATTGTTATGTTAGTTTACCAGAGGGTATAACTGCCAAGAACAGCTGAGGGCTGATAAAATCACCATGATCGAAGCGCTCAGCAAAATCTACCCAGCTGTATCGTTTTCGGATTCAACCGTCGCATGGGGATATGAATTTGAACGGATAGAAAAAAAACGTAGCATGAAAGGTTGATGTGGTATACCCAATGACATAAACCTGCCCCAAGGGGATCATAGTTGATAACATCCCAGTTAAAGGGTATATCATATCACACACCTCAGCTATGGTGATGGTCCATTATCATGATTTCTTGTGTTTACTTCCCTCATTCAAGGTGCTTAGCAACAGAATTGGTATATCTATGTATATCTGTATATCTATGTATATCTATATGTATATCTATGTATATATATATATATATCTATGTCTATGTTGATTATAGTGTGTTTGGATATACAATTCCTCATACTTCTGAAGATCTTGGAGATGCTTCATCTGTTCGTGGTAAGTACATTACATAATTCACTCGAAAGGACCTCACCGGAATGCGTTGGATCTGTAGTCGCTGAGAGAGAATCAATATATTATATTGTTATCCATCTAGAGATATGTATATATATATATATGTTTATACATTATATATATAATTGTATGCATGTATAATTATATATATATGATTCCCTTTTAATAAAAAAAAAGGAAAGCACATGAAAAAAAACAATATCCAGGTTCACAGACTTGCACATCTCCAAGTTCTCGCCTCCATTGTTAAGGACCCAGCCGCTCAGCCGCAGATGGGAAATGAGTTGATAAGTTGGCCAAATTTGGCCAATTCCCATTGTCTTCAACAGCTTGGGTTGCCAAACTGCCAGATCGCGCTTAAACACGTCGACCAAAGTCCAAACAGCCGCCTAGCCTCGCTCCATTGGTGCTTCCCAGAAATCGTAAATGGGTCGTTTTTTGCCCAGTTGTAAATAGATAAATAGGATAGAGTACCTATAGGGATACCTAGGGTTTGTATGGGTTTGTCCACTTCGAATTGGGATTGCACTTTCAACTGGAGTGAACCATTCAAGCAAAACTATCTCTCATCTTTTTGTTGAGGTATCTTTCACGTGGACCATCGCAGACCCGCACCCAAATTCCGAATGATCTCATCAGTTACAATCTTCGAATATGTGACCCAAAAAAAAACGTGTTTGATCGTGCTTGGTGTGTATCTGATGTTGAGTTGAAGGATATCCAGTGTTATCCAAGTACCTGATATCTGGGCTCTGGTCACTGAGCGCGCCCTAGGATATGTACAGTTGGGTTCGCTCCACTGCGCCACAGGAAACCGGCAGGGAACAAGTTTTGTGGCATGTTGCATCGTGGTCAACAGGTCCCATCTTGAAATTAGAATTTTCATTGGATCCCAACAGGGCTTGGTGGTTCATAAACCATAAGATTGTCGCTGGCTTACATGTTTCCCCTGAAAGCTTCAACATGCTTCAACCATGACCCCTCCGTCCTGCTATATCATGCTGCCGCAATACAGGCTGGAAAAGCTAGCTGGCATGTCCATGCTTGCAGGTGCTTCAACATGGATCACCCACAATACAAAGTTTCAAAGCAAAGCGGGATACCTTGGGCCTCGGGGGGGGTATCCAGTCCAGGTGACTTGTCAATTCTGACAACTTTGCACTTCCTTCAAGGCGCTTTGCACAACAAGATGAACAAGGTTCGGGTATATCAACATCATCCGAAATCAATGGGGCTGAATACCGTGACAGCATCAACAATGGCCAACCATCCTTGACAATCAAGAAGTCAACCCCATTTGGATTAGGGCACATCCCATAATCTGTGACTATGTTGGGAGAAGTCTATCCTCCAGCGGTAACATGATAAACAGCCATGGATCGCTTGGACAGTCCAGCTATAGAATGATCCATGATCATCTGCACGGCTCGTTGAGACATTCTGCAATTTTCTGGCACGGCCCGATGTTGCCAAACACCATCCCAAGTGCAGCCATGGCGTGAATTCCCGGTGCATCACTTCCACTGACTCCATTGGAGCAGCTGGAAACGACGAAGTCCTGTTGGACCGATACGTTTCTTAGTATGTGGCCAGGTGTCACTTAACAGAATATCGAGAGCGGGGAGGTTTTTCTTCTTTTACGTACGAATCAGTTTGGAAACCAAGAGACCCAAATTTCATCCCAAAAATATCTGTGAATCTATTAAATCCCTGATTAAACATGATGGTTTCTTGGTGGTGTTTAATGTGGGGATGGGATACTGCCTTTTTTTTGCCTTTTTTGGCTTGTAACCCTTACATCAAAAAGGACCAGCGGGATCATCGTAGGGACGCTAGGGAAAAAAATCTTATATTTCTTAAGAACACAGAACTGAAATTCTGACCGGTCGTATCTGCTTTTTATGTGATTGTGAGAGCCAACAGTGCTTCCAAAGGCCGGTGTGTACCTACTCAGTTTTGAGGTTCTCAAGCTGAGACAAACACTTTTGGCCTGGTAATTGCAGTCCATGGCAGCATCCCAGTCTTGTCAACAAACTATGGGTCAACAAACACATCAGTGAAAAGAACGCAGATTCTATCCAACTTATGTTTTCCAAAAGTGAAGTTTTATGTCTATATATGTATTTCTAATACATGAGTTATTATACATATATATATATTATACTAAACATCGGTGACATATCTGAATCTCATCTCAAATCTCATATGGCACCTGCAACATTTCGAAACCACCTACAAAGTTACCAGACAGTTGCAAGTCAGTGAAAGTGATCCCCCAAGTGCTGGCTTCTGCAGCCTTCTCCACTGGGCACCCAGCCTGTTGACTCTACTTGCTTCATTGGAGCAAAATTCTCAAAATGGAGTAATTATGGTCCACAGGCTATGAATCAAGATTGGGTATTGGGTATCGGGTATCGAACATCATGTCAACCCAAATTTAATGATGGATTTCATTGCGGGGTGGCCCCCACCACAATAGGAACAGATAAATGTCAAATCATATTAAACTTGTTCTATTTGCAACAACTGGGGTCTCAGTTGATTTCGAAAACACTACCAAGCATACTTTTCTATCACGGGTCATCATCACCAGGGTACGTGTTTTCGATCAGGCCAGGCATATGACCCTTCTGAAACGCCAAATCTGCGAAGAAGTTTTCGACAATCCGGTCACAGAGTCGGAGAAGGAGAAGGCCGATGGCTTCATGATGCTTCATGATGCTTGATTGACTTCAGGAAGCTCATCTGTTCCATGGAAATCCATGGAATATGACCAACAACATCCATTGGGTCATCCATTAGGTCATACTGCCCATCTAACCCTGCTAGATTCGTGAATCCCCATCAACCATCATGGCTGCTCTTTCTGGTGCTTTCCGTGATTTTCCGTGGTGTTTTGCCAACAACAATTGGGGATATAACAATCGAAAACTTGTGTTTCGCCCTCAAAAAACCAGCTGAAAGCTTTTTAGGGGTCGAATGTGGAGATTCCCCAGTGATTCGTTTTGAAGTCCAGTCCTGATTGAAGATGCCTGATCAGCAAGCTGTGCACATCTTGTTGAAAATATTGTTTTGAAAGTGAAAAACCCCTCAGCAAGTGTAGGCAGTGTAGGCAAATCCACCATTGAAGTTCTGCGAATCACCATATTATTGTGTGTTTTTTTAATGGTGTGTGAGAGTCATTTACATCCATCAATAGTGATTCACATATCTATTATCTAGTGATTAATGAGATTCATATGGTTCATGGGAAATAAATCAATAGTGTTTCTTAATGGGATTCATATGGGTATACCATCTGTTAAACTGACATATGTGGACCGACAATGTCCCTCTCATTCCGTGATCGGACCGGTCGAATGCAAGTTCCAAATACGCCTCCACTGCTGAATGGTGTCATCATCCTCGCTGGCTAAAGATGGCAGTTGTGATGGTCGTTGAGTCGTTGATGTCCACCGGATAAAACACAAGCCTCATACCTAGGGGATCCTAGGGGTAAGTACGAGTTGATTTATGGGGACACTACTTTGACACATTCACAAGTAGGTTTGCTGAAGTTGCCCAGTTGCCCAGTTACCCCACATAGCTTGAAGAAGCTGCATGCTCTGACTACTGAATCAACGGTAATATGTAAGCCACTATCCACGATCTACAGCAGAACACATAAAACTGAAGAAGTCCAAATGTCAAACATCACGTTTCCAAAGATATGTTGTGCCTAAAAGATGTACCTTTCATACCTTCCACAACACCAAATCTGTTCTCGTATCCAAGATATCTCTGAGACTTTTTCCTCAGTTAGCCGCTATCCATCCCCGCCCTATCCACCCCATTTTGGTCCAATTTGGTGCTCCTTCATCGATGAATTCATGGCCGCCATGGCCAGTGACCCACTTCTGGGTGTCTTGCGCGGTGTTTTCCTGGGTGTCTGCAAGCGGATGTTTCTCTGCTGGGCTTTCCTCGGCACATCATCCATGGAACCCAGCCGCTCTGGATTTTTTTCTGGCTAAATACATCTAAAAATATATTTATTATACTGTAGTGAATGTCATTTCATTTCATATCACGTTACACATATTATCGATTATGATAGTAAATTCAATGGAATGCACGTAAAATCATAAAGTATTCACAATCGAGACCCCCTAGGAATGGGGGATTCTGAATTGCCATGAGCGGAGCTGGATGATGCCATCGCATCTGCTCACTGCCCTGGGTGTTCCATAGGGGGCATCCCCGGATTCCGACATTTGACACTTTCCAAGGGGGAAACGCATGAACAAAAACAACAACTCCTTCACCAAAGTTGTCCTTTAACTATACTTAAATATTTACGACATGTTACTCCTGAATCGTTTTATGATTAATATTGTCACTCCAATATTAACTATCCGTACTATCAATTACTCCCAATGAACTATAGTTGTATCATCAAAAAAGAAGTTAAGTACTTAATTTGCTATGATGATGATGATATACATAACTTTATCTATAAACTATAGTCGTATTAGTCATATTAGTTATGAAATTCCTATTCTGGTTGGTGGTATACCTACCCCTCTGAAAAATATGAAAGTCAGTTGGATGATGACATTCCCAATATATGGAAAAAAACATGTTCCAAAGCACCAACCAGTATTAGTATAATCATTCGTGATATTGTTATATAACCATTAGAATTACCTGTAATGATTCCCTATAACCATTATGATCTATTATAATTGAATATTTATCAACATTTCCCCTAAAAATCACCCAAATGTAGGTAAATATACCATACCTGGAGCATATGGGTTATAATTAACTAAAAACACACAGGCTTTCCTTAACGACTGCCTTTTCCGACAAGCGGCTCCAGGTCGTCCCAGGCGCTTCGCAGCTGCCCGCAGAAGTCGTTCAAAGACTCCAGGAGCGACGAAGCGCCGAACCTTCGAACCGGGAGAAAGGCCAGAAATCGCATTGGTGTGGAATCAATTTGTATACATATATATATATATATTGTCAAACTCCCCTGGTTTGGAACCTTGTTCATGGATGCCTGGACATTCCGCTCGGCCTCAACGACATTGCCGGCATCTTGCCGCCATTTTTCCACCATGAGCGGTGGGTGGGAGAGGAGCCATAGGCACGGCATCTTGGAGAAAAGACAGGGTCTTGGTTGGGTAGGAACCCCTTAACTCTAGGGTAGAGATTCACATTGGTAGCGGAGCCTCATTTGAGGCATCCCATTTTAGTAAGACAGGGCTCTACTTTAAATTTGACCAGGGGTCACTCTAATTCATTCAACTTCGATTTTGTTTGCAAGACAACAACATGCTGAGACTGTTTGGTTTTCTGATCCAAAAATTTGGAACAGAGCCGCGCGCTGAAGCCATGGCCGGTGAAGGGGCAACAGCCTCGACCGATGATCGGACGAGCACTATTTGGTCAATACTCCCTTCATTTGACCCCTCTTCTGATGATCCTAGAGAGTATGTGGACAAGGTGAAATTCCTGCACTCAATATGTCCGTTGAAGGACAAGCCGATGTTGGCTCCACGTTTGGCTATGCTCATGAAGGGTACTGCTTGGGCGCAGATCAAAGGGACTGACACTTCGAAGTTAGCAGACCCAGATCAGGGTATCCAGGTCCTCCTCAAGGCTGTCTCGACTTGGGAAGAAAGTGCTGAACTTCAAACATATGACAAGTTTGAAAAGGCGCTGTATGGGGTCTCTCAGCGCCCTGATGAAACAAACATGAGCTATGTCAACCGGATGAACGTGGCTTTCATGGACTTGGGGGAGGTGAACATCAAGGACATGAAGGCATTCATACTCTTGAGACAGAGTTCACTGGCTCCAGATGACAAACGCAAAGTGATCACCATGACAAATGGTCAACTTGCAGCAGAGAAAATTGAAGCCGCAATGAGAACACTTTCCACGAAGGTTCTTGGAGGAGGAACTTCCGGAGAGGCCAAGAAAAAGGTCTACCCAGTGAACTACGTTGAGGATGATGTGGAAGAAGTTCACCACACTGCTGATGAGGAACCCTTGGACGAAGAGGCCGTTCTTCAGGCTTTGGTTGAGACTGGCGATGATGACGCACAGGTCATTGCCGATTTTGAAGAGCAGCTGGTGGAGATCTGCCAAGATTCACCGGAACTCAGCCTCTGTTTTTCAGCCTATGCAGAGGCACGTGGGCGAATCCGAGACAAGATACGATCAAGAGGTTTCTGGCCACCAAAAGGAAAAGGAAAATTTGTGAAAAAGGGTCAGTTTGGAAAAGGAGGTGGAAAGCGTCGACAGAGTTTGGCAGATCGTATCGCAGGATCAAACTGCCGCATTTGCGGACAACGAGGTCACTGGAAGTGGGAATGTCCAAAGAAAGGTTCTGGGGCTTCGAACAATACCAATGCCGATGTCAACATGGCCTTGGAGGTGCAGAGTGGCAGCATCACTGATGAGTTGGTGACGGAGTTGCCACTGTCGAGCACGACGTTGTCCCTCGAGGAACTTCTTCATGGACACCAGGACCCGGAGTCTGGAGATCTAGGATCAAACTCACCATTTGAGTCTTTTGGGATTCAAAAGGGAACCCATGTTAATGAAGAATTCATTTTTGTGACGGAGTCTCAAAGACTATCCAAAATTGATGCTCCTGTTGCCCAGTTTCTTGATGTGAAACGCCTCAGTGAAAAACTTGGTAAAGTAGTTGGTCGGATGTCCCAGAGGACTGAAGTTGGTGCTGTTGAGACAATTTTGAATGCTGAGGTAGGATGTCCAGGTATCATAGATACAGGGGCGAGCAAATCTGTGATTGGGCAACGCAAAGTAAAAAGGCTGATCGCAAGTCTTCCTTTGGAAGCACGTTCTCTTGTGAAATGGGGAAAGTCGGATACGGTGTTTCGCTTTGGAAATAATGGAACTTTGAGAAGTGTTGGTGCTTTGTTTTTGCCGATTGGTTGTCGTTGGATGCGTCTAGAAGTAGTTGATGGCGAAACACCTTTCCTTCTTTCTAATGCCTTTCTGAAAGCAACTTCGGCTGATGTGTCATCAAGCAACAGTGAACTTTATTTCAAAGATCAAGGGTGTCGGGTTCCTTTGAAATTGAATTGCAAAGGTTTGTTCACTGTGGAGCTGTCAGAAGTTTTGAAAGTTTTTGCTGGGTCGAATCGACCACAATCAGCTGACCAGTGTGAAGTCGTGACGTTGACATGTGATGAGAACTTAAAACATGAAAACAAAACAACAAACATGTCTGCAGCTTCAGAGGGCATCTGCTCGACTGCAGCAGCACCAGCGGCTCACCAATCAATCGAGACTTCACGTTTGACGACCGTTCACGGCAGTCACCATGGCATACTCCAAGGCTGTTCCCAAGGTGATGACGGGCCAGGATGTGGATCTTCCCTTTCCAGAGGATCCGGGGCTGAACTTTGCCAGCCCGGAAGCTCCTCAGATTCGACGTCCAGCCGGGGTCACCTCTCTTCGTCAATGGGGAGCCGAACGTTTTCCCGAGGGCAAATATGCAGGGAAGACCTTCAAGGAAGTCTTCGACGAGGACACCAGGTATTGTGCCTTCATGAAGAATCACACTCAGTTGACAAACGCTTGGGCTTTGAACTTCCAGAACTATGTGAGGGCAATGCACCAGAGCAAGCTTCAGATGCCACTGCAGCCGGTGACAAAGGGATCGTCATCGGCGAAGGCTCCCGGAGCTCTTGGTCTGACCACTCCTCGCTGGACTCCCGATCCGTCCAGTGTGGGATGGGAGTTGATGACCGAGCCCGGTATCGAGCATGCCTCTCCGCCGAAGCGGAGTCACAGCCCAGCCGAGGAGATCGAGAACGAAATGATGATGGTTCGAGACGAAGAGAAGGAGCAGCTGCTGATGGCGAAGATTGCCATTCTGCAGCGAGAACTCGATCAGATGCGCAAGAACTCCAACGACTAGAAGGTCCCGACTCAGTGACTCCAGCATCGAAAGGTTTGAAGTCCGGCAGCGCAGAGTCCACTCATGATAATTTTGATGTTGAAAGATGTCATCATGAGTTAGACCAGTTGTCTGCAAAGATTCAACAGGACCTGGATGTGATGCTGGCACTGACAAGGGAGGATACTGCACCACGAGGCAAGTCGACATCTCTTCATTTTCCAGCGAAGTCTGGGAAATGCAAATTGGACTTACTCGAAATCTATTGTGAACCAAACTCCAGCTTGACAGAAATGGCTTTAAAGATGGGTCTCAGAGCAAGAAGATTCACAAAACAAGATGGCGACTTGTCAACACTACAAGGCCAACAGGCGTTGTGGGAGATCCTCCATACCGAATGTCCCAGAGATGTCTGGATGTCGCCGGAGTGCAAACTATGGTGCAATTTCAGCAGGCTGAATATGTGTCGAAGTGCAGGAGCTCGAGAACGAATTTTGTCTGGACGAGAAGCAGAGCAAACACACCTCAACCTTTGTAGAGAAGTATATGAATACCAAGTAATGGGGGGTAATCATTTTCATATGGAACAACCCCGGGGATCAGAGGTTTTTGAACAAGTTGCTCTAGAAGAAGTGGTTCAGGGGACTTTACGGGCTGAGTTTGATATGTGTGAAGTAGGAAAGTTGCGGGTACCAAAGGGGAACAACTTTTTGAGAAAGAGAACAGTTGTCCGCACGACTTCACGAGAATTTCATGAGTCCATTGACTCGAGATACTGCAAAAGGAGACACAACCACCAGCCGATTGAAGGCACCATCCGGTATCTTGGGAAAACCATCAATTTGTCAGAGTATTCAGCTCGTTATTCCAATGGTTTTGCAAAGAATGTTTGTTGGTATTTGTTGCGAAGCAAGGTTTCTCGAGAGCTTCCTCTTGAGTTGTCTGAACTCTGCATTGAACCCATGGTTTCCCGAGAACAATTAATTCTTGCTGGCGAGATCAAAGCTCGCAAGTGTCGTCAGCGTCAGCCAGTGCGTCCTTTGGAACAAAGCCCCGAGAATTCTGATGATTTACCCCGTAAAGAATCCCGGAAGAAAATGTTGATGGAGGTTTTTCGAAAGATTGAAAAGAGGGCCCCAAGGGTGGGAACTGTTGTTTTACGGGAAGGGGAAGAAGTGTTCCAGGATGCGGAAAAACTATGTCAGTTTCAGGTGAAAGCTGCTGAGATCTGCCGGGGAACTGATAGGTTTCGACTTCCAAAAGGGGAGTATGTACAGGCTGAGATTCCGCTGCGGCATACGTTTGTGCTACACAGGCACACTGGAGAGGTGGAGGAACTTGGGGCTCCCGAAGAGTGGCAAAAGTTGGCAAGGACTCATCGTACCAAGAAATCGAAGCCAGCAAAATTGTGTTTGACTGTTTTTGGAAAGCCACGAGAACAAGCCCCAGTTGCTTCACAAAGTGCCACGCCTTCCACAGGTTCCAATGTTCCCGGCGAACCTTCTCAGAAACGTAGTGGGGATGAAATTGACGAGGGCATAGCCAAACGACACTGTTCTGGTGAAACTGTCAGCCAACCAAAAGGGGAACCCCAAAGAGATAGTGATGGTGGGGATGGGGAATATGATCAGGGTTATCCACCAAAAGGGGTTTCTCAGCATGGTCCCAGGTTTTTGGAGCTTAAGAAAGATGACAGGGATTGGCTGAAAAGAGTTCATCACCGTATGGGTCATCCTGATCCAGGTCGTTTTGCCCGGTTTCTCAAAGACACCCATGCTGATCCACAGCTTGTCGCAGGCGCTTTAGATTTCCAGTGTGATGCCTGTAGCGAGTCCAGGCAAGGATATCTTCTATCTCGCCCAGCTGCAATCCACAAGAATTTGGGTTTCAATGAAGTAGTTGGTTTGGACAAAGCTTTTTGGACAAACGATGTTGGTGTTACTTTTGGTTTCTTTCATGTGTTGGACGAAGGAACCCTTTTTCATTTGGGGAGACCATGTGGGGATGATGCTG